ACCAATGACATTATCACAGCCGGCGACAGCAGGCGCGAGTGACGAAAGCACCTCTGTGCTGAAAGTCGAACTCGCCTATATATACACGCAATTTCGAACTTTTTTCCTAAGAGGCCATCTGGTATGAATGAAGTATCGCTAGAAATCCCCTGGCTCATAGGCCCAGAAAATGCATTCAAACTTGGGAATCGACCAACCGCCTCCATAGAAATAGCAAGATCGCTTAATAAACGAAGAAAAACGACACGCAGCACTCTAGGCGAGGGACACTCAAAACACTCATCGTTCATATATTGAGCGGGCACTATCGATGCGTTCATTTGTGTGAGTGCGATTGTGTAAACGACAATGTTCGTGTTCAATATGTGTACGATGACAGCTTCCACGCGTAGAGGCGTCTTGGCGTCTTACGTCAAATCTTTCCAATGTATTTGTATACGAAGAAAGCGACCTCGGAAATAGCCACTTGAAAATTATGTACAATTATCAGTTTTTCCCATTTACCGATTGTTGAACGCGGCCCGTTCATGTTGAATGTTTTTTCTGAGTCTACTCGTCGAGACCTTTCCAACAAGCCCAAGAACGTCGAAATTGGACCATCCGTTCATGAGTTATTACGATTTAAAAAAATTCTTGCACAAATCGGCCATTTTCTCGAAAACGACTCCGACGATTTTTTTTCAAAATTACCTCAAATATAGCCCCAAATTAGAGCTAAAATTTGACATATAGCTTATATATGGGAAAACTCTGTTTTTTTGAGATACAGCCATTAGAAGTTGGAAAAAACATGAAAAATCGACAAAAATCAACTAAAACTAATTCTTGTTGCCGTGAATAAGGGCAAAATCATAACCAAAGTGTTTTTGCGTTCAAATGAATAAAATTCTTCCGGAACCAAGCCCTTCACCAAGTCTTTTCATACCACTCAATCAACTAAAAACACAAAAAAGGACTTTTCATGAAAAAATCAAAATCAAAACAATTCATCATGAAAATACTAAAAATGTGATAGTTTCTTAGTATAAAAGCGATATGTAATTTCATCAAAACAAAATGTAATTTCATCTGTCTGTCCAAAAACCAAATTTTATTTAACGAAAAAAAAATTAATTTTTTTCTCCTCTAGTGTGCGACTCGAACTCGATTCCACACGCTCATAAGTCTGCTTTCGTACCTACGCGCTGATTTTGCTTTATTCAGAAAGGCGAAAATGCTGGTTTTTAACTACAACATTTCATGTTTCATTTTCTTCGACGCTGTGTTTTCTCCATAAGCTCCCATATAAAAAAAGTACCGCCGTGACACTGGTGTTAGCAAGTGAACTATTTGACAATCACTCTCTCGAATTCGCCTAAGTTTGAAATCTTGTATACCATGTATATACACATCTGTTGGATGTTGAACTGCTATTTGATTGTATTTTTAAAAAAAAACGTCAATCTATGCAAGCAACACATAAAATTCGTTTTTATTCCATTGAATTTTTTGAAAAATGTAATCCAAAAATAAAACAAATGAAAACAAACGAATATTCATTGCTCGGAATCTCACAAAACCGCACAAAACTACACAAAAATGCACAAAACTATTTCAAGCCGTACATACCATTGAACAAAAATCGACCGGAATATGGAATGTCAACAAACGGAATGACATTTGTTCAACTTCATTGTGGTCTTTGTAATCGAAAACACACGAAAACAATACACAAAATATTTTAAATATTACAAGAAATAAAATGATTATATTTATTGGTTTGAATTGTTTTTTTGTTAATGTGTATTCTTTTTCTCCCTCTATACCAAAACTTACATCACATCGGTGATCGGTTGCGATCTGTTCAAAAAAAATATTCAACAGATATAACTTTCGAATTTGATATACAGTGTTTATTATATGCGGTGGCGTGCAAAGTAGGAGGCAAATGAGGCAAATGCCTAGGGCGACAGTTCAAGAGGGGCGAAAATTTCGCGAGCGCAGCGAACGAAAAATTTGTAGGGAGAAAAATTCGCGAGTGCAGCGAGTGAAGAGACAAATTCTACTCAAAAAATAACATCATCAGTCCGCGAACAATTCAGAAATCAATTATATTTAACACATTTTTTCAGCGAAGTCGCCGAACGAATGATGAATTCGAAAATTCACTGTTGTTTTGTTGTATAAACATAAACAGTCTGCAGACTGTCGAATAAATTTGATTTCTCAGAAATCTCTAGACGATCGGTGTTATTGTTAAAACTTGAATAAAAATAACTTAAAATCTCTCTCTCTCTTTCTGTGTGTGTTTAGTTACTGTTTTCGCTGCTAAATGATTACGCTGACTTTTTTTTCACGCGATTTAGATTTTTGTGATGTCACCAAAAATGCAATCAAGTCAATTATTGCACAAGCATGATTATTCCAAAGCGTGTACATTTATTCTTAACGCTAAAGTCGGTGTGGACGTATCTATTGTTTTTAATCGTTCCGTATTTTATTCATTTCAATTGGACTTTCCCTTTTGCTTTTCTTTTGCGGTATTGACAGCCGCTTTCTTTCTGTCGCTGCATCGTGGATAATGAATTTATCCACGATGTAGCGACAGAAAGAAAGCGGCTGTCAATACGGCAAAAGAAAAGCAAAAGGGAAAGAAGATGATAAAGAGCTTTGTGGTTCAATGAACAAGTTCGTAAAACGTCAGCCTGCACCGGATATCACAGAAAAAAATACAGAATCAATCGAAACAAATACAGCCGAATCAATTTATAGCGAGTAAGTACTTTTGCCTAAAAATTTGGGGGCGACATTTTGAAAATTTGCCTCAGGTGGCAGAATTACTTTGCACGCCGCCGATTATATGCCATCATAGTTCACTTGCTAGCACCAGTGGCGTTGGCGATGCGAGCACGGGAGTAAACATAGCTTTGTTCTACTCTATAAAAAGAGACACTTGCCGAGATGAGACCGACTCTAGCATCGGTATTTTAAACGAGTGCGTTGGATTTTCCGGCAGTACCGCTGATAGCGTACAATCGGATACATCCAATGACTCTGAACTTGGAAAGGTTGATTATTGGAAATGCATCAAGTGCAAGAACGTTAACGACAATCGGTTTTATCCGTTGTGTGAAGGATGTTTTCAGGTAAATAACAATCACTTCTTATTAGAATCATTTTTTACATTAAAAAAACACATGAATTAACTTGAAGAAACTAATTTTTTAATTTTTTCCACAACCACCACCAAACACGAAATTCATACTTTTCACCATCACCAAAACATCGAAAGCTTGCTTGCTGTGATCAAGCGCCTACAGATCAACCATCGACATCATCAGGCATTTTTCATCCACCACCTGCTGCTGTTGTAGTTGCCGAAGAAGTACAAGACCCGGTGGTCAATATGTGCAGGTTCTGTGTGTCTCGTCCGAGAAATGGTGCGTTTCTGCATAAAAACGGCATTTGTGTAATTTCTTGCTACATTTGCGCAGTAAAGCTGTGGAACAAAAGTAAACTTTGTCCTGCCTGCAACACAAAGCCGCTAAGTGTAAAGAAACTCTTTGTTCATTGAAATGAGTGACAATTGATAATTCGTTAATTAAAAATCATAACGCCGTGAAGCGATACAAAAAATAAACCCAAACTTCTTGAGAAAATCGAAAAGCTCGGCGAACGTTTACCCGCAAACACGTAAGTTGGATGGATCTATATTTTGAATTGAATCGATTTTTAAAAAAATCCATTAATATTATAGTTTCTTTTCAAATGGAGGAACGATGTCTTCGACTAAATTATAAAAACAAGTTGTTGGCACTTCTTATCAACCTTCTCTCATCATTTCCCTCAATAGATTGGATAATCTGATCAATTTACTCGGCGGAACAAGCAAGGTGGCAGAGCTGACTGGTCGCAAGGGTCGTATAGTGCGAACCGGAAAAGGTATTCAATACGAGTCACGCGGTGAAGACAAATCCTCATTGGATAAACTTAACCTGATCGAAAAGAATCGTTTTATGAAAGGCGAAAAATTGATTGCAATCATTTTGGAAACGGCATCAAACGAAATTTCAATTCAAAGTGACCGTCATGCGAAGAATAAACGTCGCCGTGTGCACATCACACTTGAAATGCCATGGTCGGCCGATCGAGCTGAATAAAACCGTGATTTATTTATGTATTTAAACAAATTATTTTATTTAGCACAAAGTTTTCACAATTTTATTTGCTTTTACGCTTATAACCTTTCTGATTGATAAAAAGAGACCTTGCTCTTGACTAATTTCGAGTCAAACTGAGCAGCTGATTCGGCATTTTGACCGGTTATCATTTCTGCTTTACAAGATATTGCAGCTCAACTGGTATCTATTTTTACTCTGCTTTTATACTATTTCGTGCGTTTGGCTCCATTTCCAGAAATAGTCTCGCTGAGGTGTTTACAGTTTGCATTTATTTTTGCATTCTTGATTTACGATAATTACATTGTTTTTCTCAAAATTGCATTTTCCTTTTATTTGGGTTTGAACCTTGAACGCAATCTGCATATACGTTCTATTTTTATATAAACTTAGCAGTGACCGTAAACTCCTCCTATTTGGAGACCTATTTTTAGAAGGATGCACGAATTTCTAACATATGTTTTTGAGGCGGGCTTCTTATAACTTGGAAATATAAACAAAGGCGCTTTATTTGAAGCTTTCTTTTCTTTTCATTTTTATGTTCTTTGTTTACACTTCCAACACGAGCGATTCATCATTTTGGCCGTACACATTGAGCCAATCAAGTCGATTCACCCGAGTATCTTCATCTCATCTCTGCTTTGGGTGGCGAACGACGATTTGCTGCATCGGTTGCAAAAAATGTCGAAAATCCTTACAACCAAAAAGCCCTGTGCACCGTTTATTCGACCATCAACGGCCGTTGTAGCGACGCATCACTTCCACCGCCAACAGACTACAAAGGCGATTTCTTTGGCGAAAAATGCGACGTATAAAGGACAGCGACAAAATAGATATGGCAAAGTTCTTGAATCGTTCTCTGGACTTGCCATTTAAGCTTCAAAACCACCTGTCCAAATACTTTGCCAACACGATGGGTAAAATCGTTCATGAAGCAATCAAAATTGAGAACCATAGCATGGTTGTTGACAATTTTTATTCGGAGGATTTTGTCATTGAGGAAATTCTCGAGAAGTATGGGAATATGATAACTGCAGGTGCTCGTAACAAGGCCAAGAAAGAGAAGGTTGGCAAAGGTACCAACAACGAGAAGGTCAACAAAACGAAGAAAAAAAATAAGAAGCCAGGTAATGCAATAATTTTGTGTGTTTCGGTTGATTTCTTTCTTTTGAAAAATATTCTGATCCTGTTCCTATTTACTATAGCTCCAAAGAAGGAAAAGGTTCCGAAAGCAGCCACGAAGCCAAAGTCACCGAAACAAACAGTGCCACCGAAAAAAGTAATGCCACCGAAGGAGGTAACACCACCAAACGAGCCAAAGTCACAGCAGGATAAAGATGGTCTCAAGCAATCAACATTGACACTCAGCAAAGAGGTGAGCGATTTTTGATTGAATGGCGTCAAATTAATCAGTAAAATAACTGAAATTTATTTGATTTTGTAGAAAAGGATACGGATAGCAACAAATCATTCGATAAGAATGAAACCATCGCACCGCCAACAGCACGTCGTATAAATGCACGCCGTAGTACGGTCAAGGTAAATTTCAGAAACCGCTTCTTTCTATAAGAGAAACTCCAGTTTTGTATTGAGCTAAAGACATTTTACATAATAGTCATTAGCCTATTTGGTTCTAATATATGCTTATTCATTCTATACTGCAGCCCGTCAATTATGCTGAATTTTCAGACCAAAGCGACGAGGACGTGGTTCAAGATCCATCGTTAAAAGCAGCAAAACGTACGAAAAAGGCCGATGATTCGCCAATTGAGGTAAATCTATTCAAAAATGGTGAAACCAAGTCATTTTCATTGCTATAAAAAATTGCTAACAAAATGAATTTTCTTCTATATTTAAAGTCCGTTGCATAGAAGAAGAAGAAGACGGCAATGGTGAGCGGCGATGATAGTTTAGATTCGAATTTCGATATATAAACAGTTTTTACGCAAGAAGCGAGAAAGATAGACCATTCTTCACGCAAACGCGTGCATAAAATCCACGAGAGAAGAAAGAAAAGAGTTTAAAGTGATATAAATTTTTTTTCGTTTCTTTTTCATTTCTTTTTCATGTATTTTTTGGTTCAATCATTTAGAATATTTTGTTTGTTTTAATGTTTTCTAAAAAAACAATTACAAAAATATTCATGAACACATTTCGAATGAAGATAGATCGATGTCATCATACTTTCGATCTGATCAAATTCCACTTTCTTCGTTGACAATGAAAACACAACCTTCGTAACTTTTCTTATTGATCTGTTTATTTATTTCAATGTATCATACAATCGGTTTTTTGTTGTTGTTTTCTTAATCATCTTTCACTTATACATAATGACAGTAGTTGATCGTTTATGTTTGTTTCTCTTTATTTTTATACAATTTCTTCGATTGGAACTGTAAATTGGTTGAAGATTTGTTGTTGTGTTGCAAAATTGTGAGATTTGCATAATATATTCCAAATAAGTGTTTAATTTGACATTTTGTTTTTTATTCTCTTTTTTATGAATATTGTCGATGATGCGAAAAAAGATGAGCGAACATTCTAACGTTCGAGACAAATTAAAAATAGACTAATGCCCGTTGTAAGTGGTTTGGATTTAATTAAATCCAAAGATTTAATTTTCAACTTTGCGAAAACGGCCAAAAAATGAAAGCTGATTGGGTAGGACGTAAAATTTGGGCGAAAACAAGAAAAACTGGCCTTTTGAGTACACCCGCCTTATGGGGCCTTGAAATCATGATTTTCCCGAATTTCGTTAAATCCTAAAGATTTAACTTTCAAGTGCGGGATTTAAGCATTTTTCACGCAAAATCATGTTGCAAATAAGTCAAGAATTGTTGGAAATGACCGAAAAATTCTAAATCAGCAAAAAACCCAACCACTTTGTACGTTTTTTGAGTCCAAACATTCAAAAATATCATTTTTCGTATATTCTCAACATTTAATTTTCAAATGCGGGATTTAAGAATTTTTCACGTTAAACAGTGAGTCAAATAAGGCAAAAGTTGTGGGAAATGGTCCGAAAAATCTAAATCAGTAATAAAAATCAAGCACTTTTGACCATTTTTGGGTTCAAATAGGCAAGAATATCAGTTTACGGAAACCCTCAGTATTTCACTTTCACATAATGGTGAATTTTTTTGGGAAATCTCGTTTTTCGACAGTCTGCCCATTCAAAACTTCTAGTCAGCTTCAAATCAAGCACCGAAAGCCATATCTGTGGCTTGTTTATTGGGATTTCAGGTCAGCACAACATTTAGATAGGTAAATGAGTTTTTTATGAAACCATGAAAGTAAAATCCCAATAGAAATCCCATTTGTGATATTCCAAACGTCATGAAACTTTCTGGATCTTATTTTTTTACCAAAAAACTCAATCCCTGAAATTTTGAAGCCAATCGAAATCGATTTACGGGTACCTCCCATACAAATTTTCTTATTTTCTTCATAAAATTGGCAAAACTGGCCAAATTTGTATGGGAGGCGGGCAAAATTTAAACGCCTGTATAATGTAAACCGTACGTCGGATCACATTGCTTCACATGGGGTTTTTATTCGTTGTAATGTGTTCTCTTCATTTTTGTCTTTTGATCAATTAATCTATGTAGTGTGGTTGCTAAGTTATATATGAAAATGTGCGCAGAAACAAAAATTCTAAAAATTGTTTCAAAGAACTTCATTTTAGACAAATTTCCGATACTTCTATACAATGGGTTCGATTGTTCTCTGATTCGTATTCGCAAACCATTGGGAATCCAGCATTATGAGTATTTTTTTCGCTTTTTCTGCCCAAAATGAACCAAGTACCAGTACTCTCAATGAAAGGAAAAATTATTACACTAGAAGGTTAAATAACATTACATTGTCATTCAATTCAAAATTAGGTTTACGTCACATTTCTTTCACGCAAAAATCATAATTCTTCGTTCCAATGATGATGCAATACATCATTTAACGTCAGTGACTAAAATAAGTTGGATCTTACTCTTGTTCTTATTTTGAAATTCATTTTTATGCTAATAGAAAATTCAGAAAACTCTGCTTATCTTGACTTGAATTTTGTGCAATAGTCCTGATTAGATTTTCAATTAAATGAGTTTCGGTTGATGATTCTGTACGACTCACGATTTTAAAAAGTGAGCTGTTAGCTCAAATGTTGTATCATCTGATATTTTTTCACCGAGTGTTGATTCGATAGTGTCTGAGTATTTCAATGCCAGAATTTTTTCAGTCAATTCTGAGCCTTCTACGCAAGTGCTTGTTGATCGTGGGAAAATTGAGTAAGCCATCGAATCATTAGTTTTCGAATGTTCCATTCGGCTGTTCAAAAAAATCTCTTTTCCTTTTTTTCTTTTCTGCTTATCATGACGTTTAAGCAAAGAAATTGTCACCCAAATAGTATGAAAAGACAACAGTCCTGAACTGTTAAATGAAGTCATAATTCATACATTTCGATTCGATGAAAGTCTTCCCGATTCCACTGGACCATACTGATCTGTTTGATGAATTCACATCGAAACTGATTTTCAACCAATGACAGCAAAGTTATTTCCCAAGCATTATTTTTAAAAAGAAAACCAATTCCAAATCCTTGATTCCAATGATGATTTAACTTCAGCTGTCGAGTTTTCAAATGGAATGTATCCACCGCTGTTATTTTTTTCTTATTCGTTGAAAGGAAAATTCCTTGAATGCAAAACTTCGGGTTCAACCAATTGTGTCCAGTGTTATGTATGTACGCTTGATGCGAGTAGATGTGTATATCAAGGAATGCACAAGCATTATGATTTGACACAATTGCAGTAGTAGCACAGAATTCTACTGAACAAGTACCACGATGTTCGCAGCGACATCTGACGATTTTTGTGCGCGCGAAGTATTTCCTTTGAAAATCATATTTAAATAGATAATCTGATTGGAATAGCAATTTTCTATTCGAATTTCGTAAAATTTCTTTCTTATAGAAGACACAAAAGTCTTCTGTGTGGTTTTCCAAAGACTTGTTTTGGCAAAAGCATTTGTTTTGTATCAGTCAGCTGCTTGCAGTGCCACACCGCGAATGTATGTATTGTTTATGTTCGATTTGAAACTATCACATAAGCGTCTAGCAAACATTGTTGCATACATGAGTCGTGCTGTTCGTTGTATTTTCACCGACAAATTTGTTCATTCTGCGAGTGGGTATCCATTGGAGAACACATAAAAATGGCAAAAGCAGAATAGCAATCTCTAGTTTGCTCATTAATCGAGCAGAGCATGAAGTTTTTTTCAATCGAATTTCTCATTGTTTTGGGATGAATCACCAACATGGAATGTGAACAGTGTGTTTTGGAAATTGAATGGACAAAAATCGGATTGATAATTTTATTGGGCATGTTGTGGCTCCAAAAGTTCATGCATCAATTAACAATCGTCGCCATTTTACCTTTTGTTCAATCTCCAACTCAAGTTCATTTCCACCAAATGGTGTCATGCACAAATTTTATGCGACTAATTTCTTATTTGTTTGGTGTTTCATTGCATTACGAAAATACATCGGAATTTTTCACATGAAATTCAAAAATTCTTCATTCTCAACACAAGCGAACCTTGAGAAAATGGAGTAGATCAAGGAGCTCGAAGCATCAATCGACGTTCGCTGAGATCGTATGTTGTCGAAACGACGCAGTCAGTGGTTTGCAGTCAAGGAGTAAACGTCGTTCGAATCGAAAGCAGCAACGAAGCAGTTTGTCAATCGATTATCGAGTCATTGTTCGTCGGTATTCGTGGCTAGAAATAAAAAAGGTACAAAAAGGTGGCAATGGCATCCGATAATCCATCATTTTTGGATGATTTGTCCGAATGGCTCATGTGCACATTCTGTGCGGAGACATTCTCGCGACAAAAACAATTCTTGTTTTTGTTCTGTTCAAAGGTGGCATGCATCGATTGCGCCCTCAAAAGTAAGTAAGTTGGATGCAAAAGAAAGAATTTATCGAAGAGTTTCCGGAAAATAAACATAAAATCATTTGATTTGCGTAAAAATTCCAGTGCGTTCGCGGTCTGAACCCAAGAAAATCGATTGCGGTTTGTGCAAAAAAACAGTTGGCTTGTATCAGATTCGTAATGAGGTGGGATGTTTTTCTTTTCATTAAACAATCGATTGCATTGAGCATATCTCTGAAACGGTTTTGCTCACACATTTCAGATGCCGCCGCAATTGCGCAAGCTGTTCCAAAACACAGAGAAAATGATCGAAGAAGCGATGAACATTTACGAATTTCAACAGCGTCTAACTAGCATGGCTCTTGAAAATTTGGTAGGCTGTTTACTGTTTTGATTTCGAGAGACTGATAAGAACGATTCAAACGGATTGAGATAACTGTTTCAGGAGAAGAATATTGATGAAATGGAAAGCGACATAAGCGATATGGTCTATCGGGCCGAACAAGACGATCGAATGGCTCAACGTGATGAGGCTGATGCAGGACGTTACAGTGGAGAACTGTTGAAGATTATGACCGATGAACAATTGCAATATCTTGAAACAGACAGCGCTGAGCAATTGCAACAGATGAACTTCGATCAGATCGTCGGATCCGGCCCACGGTATAGCAGAGTATTTCATTCGAATAGTATTTTTTTCTTAAATCTCATTTCATTCTTCAGACGCCGTTTGTCTCGCACCACATCCTCGCCATCATCGCGATACTCTCGAAGTCCACATTCGACACCGGAATCAATGAGGTAATTTCAAACATGTGTTTTCCGATGGCTGAGCATCTCAGCATTTCGTAAGCTACGGATATATCCGAGCATATCGACGACGCATACTGTATAATACAGTGGCGTGTGTTGCTACATGCAGCCGCAACGACTCGACCGAAGTGTGTTCAGTTTATGTGGCTGCACGCAGCAACAACATACACATTCCGGTCGAGTCGTTGCGGCTGCACGTAGCAACACACGCCACTGTATTATACAGTATGCGTCGTCGATATGCTCGGATATATCCGTAGCTTACGAAATGCTGAGATGCTCAGCCATCGGAAAACACATGTTTGGGTAATTTGCACCCAATTGAAACTGTTTCATGGAATTTATCAAGGGAATTTTTGATGATTCCAGCGCATCGTCCCATGGTGGTTTGACTCAGATGATGAACGATATGGTGATGAACCAACGAATTGACCAACGACGACGACAATCGCGTAGTGATTTGCGACGACATTCACGAGAAGGAACACCACAGAAAATTCGACACCGACAAGATTCTCGCTCACGAGGCTCACGCCATTCACGCGACGGACGTCGCTCACACGGTTCAGGCTCAGGCTCTGGTTCAAGTCCACACCATTCACATGAACCACGCAAACGTTCATCGCGTGATGGCTTCCCAAATTTGCATTAGCAAAACTAACCTGCTTTCAATCTTTGGCCATGCATTCTACATCCTTGTCAATGGCTATTCAGAAATTCATTCACTTCACATAAGTGACAATGAATATATCGGCGTCGTAATTAAGAACTTCATTACTTCAATGTCTATTACTTTTCAATCATCAAAAATTCCATACAAAATGATTTCAGTGAAATTTGGATCCATCGTTTTAGTTCAGTATTAAATTGGAATGGCAATTAATGGCAGATTAAGAAAAGATGTAAGGGGAAAAAAAAGAAATAAAGCACGAAAGCCAAATAATCACACAAAAACCGTGTGCCACAGTGTAATTACTAGAAGAAGAAAAACAGACACACCAAAACTGCGGTACTTTGTGACAAATTTTTATTTATAATTTACATTGGATTTTACAGAGCATTTTAGGATGATTTTTCTTTCATTTTCTGACATTGTGTCTATTTGGTTTTCTTTCTATCATTTTGTTTTGTTATTGAATATCAATTGTTCGCAAATATCACAATAAAATGAAACAAGACATACAGGTATTTGTTCTCTCTACGTAATGAAACTGATTTGAAAAATCGGTTGAAATCAAATTTTCCTATTTACATGCAAATAGATAGAGAAAAATAAAGAATAAGGCAGATAGAAGCTGGATCATTTTTTAAATGGGCTTTGAACTAACGATATTTGATTGAATATTTTTTTATGGGAATATAACATTAAGCTCGGGTTGAAAACAAAAAAAAAACAAAAATGAAAGCTACATATTTGCTAGAAAATGCGAGGATATTACTTTCGTATCAAAAACAAAACAAACCTTCAATTCCATACTCTTAGCTAGCTAATAAGGCATTTCATTCCAATCATTAACCATTTCTTCCGTCACTCTCTTGCTAAAATCTCATTTTGATGTGTAACTTAACTTAGCTATTCAATTACGATATAATGATATATAAATTGTGAACAAGCATTGGTTTTTTCTGCTCTTTTTCATTTTTTTTTTATCTAAATACAAACAGAGCCGAATAAATAAATGGAATAATTTCACTAAATTCTTATTAATGATAGATAAGTGTTTTTCTGTTGTTGCAGCCATTGGGATTTGATATATAAAGTGAATGACATTTGCTCTTTGTTTAATTTAGGGATTTTGTTTGGAAAGTTTATCGTTTGGTTGAAAAAGCAGCGGGACGTGGAAGAGCACTTCTTCGGATTTGACTTGGTGGCCGTAGCATTGATGCCTTCGGTGCAACGATTCCACTACTGGCTACTGCAGATGAACGAGATGGCACATTCGACGTTTTCGCAGATGGTTGCACAAATGTTGCGTTCGGATTCTCATTTGATGCGGTAAACGTCTCGGGCGTTTCTCCACGGCTCAAACTACTCTTCGAACTGCCGGATGAAAGGCTCTGTAGAAGTGAAGAATAAAGTATTTATTTTCATATCTCTAATTGAAATTCACTTTGAAAGAAGATAACTTCATCACTGACATTCATTGTACATCGATAAACAGAAAAAATCTTCAAAAATAGACAAAAAAAGTCTTACATTATTCGATGAGAATCGTCCCAAATCAGTGTCGGAGTCGGTACGTTTTGTGTTATAGCCATAATAACCAGACGACGGTCGAATCAAACTAAGTTTTCGTGATTGACCAACGTCCAGCCGTTGACGCATCACTGCTGCTGAAGATTTTTGTGCTGGAATTTTGAACGTGTGTGACGACTGCAAACGAATTAAAACGAAATTTTTAATGAATTTTGTCAATGAAAATCACGGAATTCTTAAAAGTGTCTGCCAAACTTCCCAAATTGAATAGATTTGTTGGGAAAAAAAACGTTTTTTTCAACTAAAACACATTTTTTGTCTAAAACTCCGTGGCCTTAATCGAAAATCCGTGACTCATTTCAACTGAGTCACAAAACCAAAACTCACCAAAGCTGAATTCCTTGTAGAAGATGGATGTTCAAATTCTCCGATATCTACTCGACTCCCTGGCAGTTTTGATGTGTGTTTGGCCGTCGATAGATTGTGTATTGACTTCGACTTAATTCCCATCGGACTCTTAATCTGTTGAACTGGTTTCGATTGCGAAATCCCATTTGGTTCATCACTTGATAAAAACTCCTGTGAATTTGATTTGGCGTACAGATCACGTTTTGCCAAGCCGCCCAATTGACGTGGTCGTGCCAGTCCAGATCTTTTAAATGTCATGGTGTTGATACCCTTGGCTGTCGCTTGATTTTGCTCATCATCAAATCCATGTTGTTTCGGTGAATTCGTATTCTTGGTGGCAAACACATCGCCTGTACGAGCTACTGGCAATGGAGATTGCATGGCTTGTATGTACGTCTCCTCTGGACCGGGTATTTGAATCGCATTTTGCGGTGGTTTTTTGAAAATTCGAATGGTTTTGAAGCGATCACGGTTGTTCGACTTGCTTTCGCCGTGAGATTCTTCCGTATTGTAAATTGGTTCAGTCTTTGGAGCGGATTCTTGTTCCAGATACAGTTGATTTTTCATGTTCAACGTTTGCGTGGAATTGAGCTCATTTGCTTGTTTATTGTCCGTGTAACCAATGGAAGAACCGCTGTGATCCATGCCACTATTGTCCACTATTCGATCGGTGTATGTGCTTAAAGCATCATCAAACAAACGACTTCGTCGCAGTAATCGCTCTCCACTCCCGCTGCTGGTCGATGAATTCATCACCGAACGACTTAACGAATCGTTCAGTCGATTTTTCTCATTCGAACCAAACTCTGAGTATTTTCCATTTTTCGACGTATTCATCGCCGTTTCTCGATTCAATTCATCTTGTTGCTGTTTCTCCATGCCCATGGACGAATGACGCTTTTTTATATTGTCCAGGGATTGGCGCACTTTTTGACTCATCGGATTTCGAATTTTGGCACTAAAACTGTTCAACAAATCATCAAACTCCTCTTCCGTTTTATTATTCTCCAAAATGAGCAATGTATTCTCAAACTCCTCGAAATTGGCCAACGATTGTCGTTCATTCTCAACCATTTCCGTATTGATCCCCGTTGGATTTGATGCACGTGCCGTACTTTTGGTCACCGGTTCGCGCAAATACACTGGAATATCTTCGATTTCGATGTCAACAAACTTGTCCACGTTCTGTGTGAGATTGTTCTTGTTTCGTTCGGAGAAAATGGGCGATATTGTTTGTAATGATTCCGATTTTCGAGACTTTCGTACTTGTGCAGCGGGCGTTGACTGGTATTCTGATAAAGAAAAGAGAGATAACAGTGATTACTTCTGAGTTTTTGTTCATGTTTAAGTTTTTTTTTTTGGTGCAAAACACCACATTACTTACCATCCAGTTGAAAGGTCGAATTCATATCCAAAATTTGTGTGCCATTTAATGAGTTACACAGAGCGAGTTCTTCATCGTCCAAATAGTCAGCAACCACTGGTATCGTGATGTTCATTTTATTAACTTGCGTCTCAAACGTTCGATTGGCCTTGTTGCCCATTTCGAATGTGCTATTTCTGATGCTAGCATTCATGGACCCATTGGCATCTGGTGCTTGAATAAATGTCTTATCCACTTCGCCCGATGCATCGAATGTGCCATTCACTAAATTCTCTTTATTGAATGTCCCATCATGCTTACCACCTCCCAAATTGTTTGTGCTATCCGTTGAATTTTGTAATGTACTACTGCTGGAACCCGTGCAATTTCCATTCTCAATCAAATCCACATTATTGATGTCGGCATCTTTTGTGAACAGACTTTCATCGTAGTTGGTTAAGCGTTCGAGGAAATTTCGGTCGGCAATCGCATCGGATAATCGATAATGCTTGAAATGTGCCATGGACAAACTATCACCAGTGTCATTCATGAAGTCAATATTTGAAAAGTCATTGCTTGTGATTAAACTATTTCCCATCGAATTGTCCATATGCGAAGGAGGTGATACATCACCCAATAGACTGCGTTGCAAACTCGTCACCAGTCCACCGATTTTCAAATCGATTCTTGGCACTGGCACGGCGGACGATGATGATGTTGCCATTTGATCGTCGGACTGGAAAGGAAGAAGGGAGGAAAACAATTAGACAAAATACATCAAAATTGTATCAAACTATTAAACGGAAAAACTTGGTGCACAAGGAGTTAACAAGACGTATATTATAAGGTTTTTGACTTCGATTTCGAGGAGGAAGAGAGATACAATGTGTATGCACCATCTCTTTCGATGGAAGTCTAAGGCTGTTATAAGATCTTGTTAACTCCCTGTGACTTGATACGAACAGAGCTAGAATGTCCTAGCCTGGGTTCAAGGTATTTACCAACTCATCGCTGGAAGTTTTCTCTCGGTTCAAAAAGTTAGTATCATTTACATCGGAGTACGTGGAACTCTTTTTCTTAGGCCGTGTAAATGTTCGTGTGTCCAAATATTTCAAATCTGTAATAATAATAATGCTATTAAGTATTTATAACTCAACACTAAAATTCGTCATTTTTTGTCCGACAATTTTCTCGCCTAATCCGTTATCGATTTTTTGTCCCACATCTATATTATCGATTTCAATGTTTATATATCCACTTTGTTATTGGAGAAGGTTACCTTTACTTTCTGTGGTTTCATGATTGCGTTTCCATTGATCAACAATATTTCGAATGTCTGTGTCTGATGACAGCCTAAAATTAAACGAAAAAATAAAACATTCAGATTAACATTAAACGCATGACATGAATAATGTATCAATTTTATTAGTATGACCATGCGACTACCTTTTTTGTATTACAATTGAACGCAAAAAAAGAAGCGAATAATTAATGTATCGACACAAAAATGGAACAATGTTGAGAGTATTGTGAAGTTTTCTCTTTCGCCCACACTCGCACAAAATTCCAACCATGCCCTCGGATGAATGAGCAATACCCACGAATGAACGCGTAGAAGAAACAAAAACCGAACAATAAAATACATAGTTGGCAATTTTCAAGTGATTTTCTTGCGATTCTTAGCAAAAACTTACTGACCGAAACAAGTTTCGCACAACTTGCTCTCTCTCCACACAGATGTTTGATTACAATAATCAAATTGTTTTTTTAAGAGAGATAGAGAGAGAAAAACCCACACACATTTATTTGCGCAATAAACACACTGTGTACACTTTTATGTCGATACAATCCATTTCTTTTTGTTCATTTTTTTTCTCTCGTTTTAAACAGAAAGAACTGTAGTTAAAACAGGCAAAAAAATGGAAAAGATGATTTATACTTACGAAAATGAATCAGATTCATCATCGATATTTATAATGCTATCTTCCATTCTGTGTGTTGGTTTGGTCAGGTCAGGTCACCACCAATAACTGCTTGAGCTGGTTTTTTTTCTCCGTCTGTCTATCTGTCAATCTATCTACGTCTCTGTCACTTCTCTATGGAATCATACGTCTGTCGTCTTTAGGTCTATCAAATGAATCAAACATCGATGATTAGTTTAACACTTGAATTTTTGCTCGTCTTCATTCAAAAGCAACCGAAAATTCACACGGAAATGAACAACGAAACAAAGAAACCATCTATCTAATAATTGGTACTGAACCAACAGCAATTGCATGGGTGCCAATGCGTGTTTTCACTGCACCAAGATTTCGTCACTAACGCACAATCCGTTTGATGTTGTTGTACTTATTCGATGTATAATGAGTAAACACAATTCACTTAAATTAGAACTAGCAAACAAGAGGCAGTCCAATCCAAACGATAGATAGAGACATGAACAAAAGTCAAAATGAAGAAAGTAGCAACATTCTTGTATGTGTGATGTTTCTTAGTGCTGTATAACTATTACGGCTGTTTCTTGCTCTCTTTTTTTCTTCTTCGATGTAAAAATACACATTGCCTGGGTGCGGTAGGATTTATTTGGCTTACCATTAATTTTCACATTTATTTACATCATTTGTGAATTCGTTTTTTCTCTTTCCAAATTCAATCAACATAAAGATAAAACAAATTTTCCCCGTGAGGGCAAAAACACAAAATACGACGATTCGTCAAACGCAGCTACTAAAAAAAACAAACTTCACAATCATAATACAATTTAACACTGAATATATATGACCAGTGCCACCAACATGACCAACCGCAAAGATTTGCACAAGAACGGGCACATCGATGCAGTACTAGATTTCAGATGTCTAATGTCAAACAAACCAACATTCCGTCGCACTGATTCAATCGTATTTCAAATGCGACGGTCGTTTTTAACGTTTTAGCATCTGGATCGTACTAGGTTTTTGTTTGTGTGTGTTTTTTTGTTGGTTTTGTTTTGTCATTTCACATTTGTATGCAAAAATTCCAACGAATATTTTAGCAAATAAACCAATCCCCTCTCGTTTTGATAAACAAATAAAGGAGATAAGAATAGCATAGGAAATGAAAACGAAAAGAGCGTTGCCAGAACATGTCATTGGCCTTGATAAATGTTATGACTCATGTTGAATCACTTGGAATTCTTTTGCTATTAACTATACTTTACCTCGTCATTCGGTTTTATTAATTTGGTGTTTGCATGGGATTTTTACCTCTTCTCTTCACTCTTTTTCTTATCGGTCTGGATTATGTCACTCTTCTTATCGATGTCATCATACTTTCGATCTGATCAAATTCCACTTTCTTCGTTGACAATGAAAACACAACCTTCATAACTTTTCTTATTGATCTGTTTATTTATTTCAATGTATCATACAATCGGTTTTGTTTGTTGTTTTCTTAATCATCTTTCACTTATACATAATGACAGTAGTTGATCGTTTATGTTTGTTTCTCTTTATTTTTATACAATTTCTTCGATTGGAACTGTAAATTGGTTGAAGATTTGCTGTTGTGTGGCAAAATTGTGAGATTTGCATAATATATTCCAAATAAGTGTTTAATTTGACATTTTGTTGTTCATTCTCTTTGTTTGTTATCTCCCTTTTTATGAATATTGTCGATGATGCGAAAAAAGATGAGCGAACATTCTAACGTTCGAGACAAATTAAAAATAGACTAAGACGAGAGAAAAACAAACTTAGGGCAATGTGGATAATGGCGAGATTTAGATTTTAAGAAAACGTTTCTTTTTTGATTTATCACGCATTCTGTACAAATTAAAACTGACTGATCTTAATGAATAAAACACTACTGTGCTAACTAAAATCTATTTAAACTAAACGAAAATGATTCGATTTGATCTTAATGTTAAAAAGTAGTAAACCGCTTCGGTAGAGCGGGAAAAACAAAATCAAGTAGTAAGTTAACTTATAGTTTGAATGTATAAGTGGTGTGTGTGTGCGTTTGTGACTCCACAACTGCGTCACCGAAGTTGAGGAAGAAATTGACGGCGATATTTTATTTTGTTAGTTTAGATTTGCAGTCACTTTTGGATGATATGTTAAGAATCATCAGAATATTTCGTTTTATTTCATGCTTTCCCTTCATTTGTATGCCGTTGCGGTTGCTGTTATTGTTGTTGGAACAATTACAAATTGACTATATAAAAAAAGACTACGGTGTGTGTCACATTGCTCATTCGATTCTATGTGTGTGTCTTTGTCTCTCTAATCTCTAGATTTAAATTCAGCAATTTCGATTTGATATAAACTTGATGAAAATTGATATGGCGAGAAATTAATGTTGACATTGAACACGGGAAAGCATTTTTGAATCTACAACCGACTTTTTTTGTTGTTGTTGTTGTTGTTGTTGTGGTGCACAATTGTTCAGCAAAAGCTGTTTTAGCGGACTTGAGTTGAGACCGTTTTTGACGAAATTTTTTTCTCTCCAAAATTTAATCTTAGATGAAGAATGACTCTGAAAATGATTAGCAAAGTTCCGATTGTTGGTACAGGGGGAAAATGTTGTTCCGAAAAGGAGGGAAATTTTGGTAGAATGAGCAACAACCAAAATTAGAACATGCGATTTTTTTGTTGAAGCGAAGCAGGAAAAAATATCGATAATCGACTATGTTAACCAACGTTTGAGCGCGATCCACGCTATTATGCTATTGTATACATATACACTTTGTCACATGGTTTTCAACTTTCTATAGATTTCAATTTTTTTTCTGGGTTTTTTATAAGTAAATCATTTCATCCATTTTCGATTATTCTTAAATCACGATTTCAACAATTTGGGTTTTGCTTACGAAGATAATACAGAATTCATCCACTTAAATGTCTAAATTAAACTAGCAATTCTTAGATTGGTAAATGATGTTTTCTTTTGTGTGTGTGTTTTAAGTTCCGATTTCATACGAAGCAAATTCAATCGGGGAAAAAAAATTCTGAAGAAAAAGATTCCATTTTTGACCTTCAAAGGTAATATGAAACGTTCAATGAGACTCTGTCCGTTTGGCAGACGATGTCTATAATTTAGATTTCTTTTTCTGCGTTCCATACATTTATTTCACTCATCAAAGCTAATTTACTTAAGCTACGGGCAAAATATCGATAGAGATGCTAGTGTTGTGTTTTCTTTTATACATGTTTCTCTTTAAGTCTTATTCAAATTTGCATTTTTAATTTTTACATGACCATTCTTTGCTAACACTTAATCCACTCTCAAGTCTGAGTTTCGCTACAAGCATTGTTGTGTTCATTTTGGTATTGATATAACAACAGAAAAAATAAGTCGGTGACTGGAAACAGAAGTTGAAAGTTATTGTATTGGAGTTTTGAACATTTGGAAGACTATTGCTTAACTGAAATGTAACAAAAGGTGTTTGTGTTGTATCTTTTTTTGGTTGATGGAACTGTGTTTTTGTCTTGTGTTTGTTTTTGTTTGCGTAAAAAAATTATGTGTGACTCAGTCATTCAATTTCCTGGCTTCATTCATTCCAAAAATTGTTTAATTGCAAAAAATTTGTGGCCATTTTGGCGAACGAAAAAATTGACATAATTGTTATTACACGTATAATTCCTCCTAAATCTGAAATCTCTCACATCATTTCATTTATTAGATTAACCACAAGTAATATCGAATCCTAGGGGGAAAGAACGACTTGACGTATTTGCCATATTTACGTCCATTTGCAAGCATTTGCATAGCGATCCTCTATGTTATTGTTGTTGTCTTCATGTTGCTTCGTCTCGTTCGTAGTGAGCAGTGCTTGCTGAGTGATACATCTTCTAGCATTCGTTTGTTGTATTTGCACGCATTTGCACGTTTTGTTAGGCATTGGCAATATTTCCATGTTATCTTTGAATTTGTGTCATTCTTTCCCCCTAGATCGAATCCACGTCCAATAACTGGAAATTGATATCCATTGGAACTGGAAATGGGCTTACAACTAAAGTTTATTATACTAAATTTTTTCTTTAATTATTTCCTCAGCAACAAACAGTCGGTTTTATTTTAATATGGCTAATGAGTTTAATAATAATTACTAATGGTTTTGTTTGTTTGTTTTTTTTTACAGTGCTATCAAATAAACGGAGCGTAAAGTTTGCTCCGTGTCGATGGCATTCAACACCATCGTCATGCTTGAAATTCATGTGATTGTTCTGTGTCTCTAGTTGAGTCTTAGAGTTAATAGTTTAGTTTAGTAGTCGTTTGCTAGTCCAAATAAAATCTAACTTAGAATATAGAATTCCATAAGTGTTTTTTTTTGTTTCTCTTGTTGAGTGCAACACATACGAGTGTACACTGCTTGGCTTCTTCATATAGTGTATAAATGTTGTTAGCTGGCAAAGTCTAGGTAGTAGTCGAATTTTGGGTTTTTTTAGTGGGTAAAAATTAATTTTAAATTCGAGGCATTCACTTCGCTCTAGTTTTGCAAAACGGTTTAGAAATTGTGTGGCCTAGGACATTTACACAAATCAATTGGCATAGTGATCGAACGATCCCAGATATTCCAATGCGGCCCGGTAACAGAACTGATATTGATCCTGTGAACATGAGAAATTGAACAATTTTAGATGCTATTCATGAATATTGAGCACACAGTCACTATGTATATATTATAGATGAAAATTAGGAGAAAGAAATGCATTTTTGTTGAAAATTGAACCGTACCTCTGTTTGCACCATAGCCGGTCGTTGTGATCGAAGAATTCGAACCGTTTGGAAAACATCTAAAACACCCTCATACTGCATACGCTCCAAAACAATGCTCAATGATATGAACACGCCAGTTCTACCTACGCCCGCACTACAGTGCACGGTGATTGGCCCATCTTGACCGAATTGCTCCTTTGTCTTATGCACTTGACCTATGAAATCGATGAATCCTTCACCAGATTTCGGCACACCTATGGAAGATAAGTTTATATCATGAATATTTGAGTGGTGTGAAGGTTGTACAATTTGACGAATTCAATTGACGATTTAATGAATCAAAAAGGGAACAATTACGGAATTCGCTAACACCAAACATAGAGCTAGCGAATAGAATTGAAACAAAATGAAGTTTCTTACCTTGTTCAGGCCATTCGCAGTACACAAACTGACGTATTGTTCGAGAGGAACCATCTCTAGCATCAGTTACCTAAAGGTTTTAAACATTTTTTTTTTGTTAACGAATTTTATATTTTACTCGTGAAATTCTAAAAATTCACTTTTATGATTATTTTTCGAACTTTTAAATCTTTGAAGACAAGATTCAAAAAATTCATAAGAAGAAACGATGTATCTGTTCCAAAGGCTCACCTTAAATTCTCTTAATTTGTATTGCGGCATATTATACTCGGCAATTGGATCAACAACATAATATTGATATCGAACGCTTCGTTCGTGTGGCCAATACTGGAAGCACTTTTCCTGTGACAAATCGCATTTTTTTTATTAATAATTTTGATTTAAATTCCATATGAAATATTTTTATTATTTCAATGTCCATTAAAATTGCAATAAAAACTTACTCTTCCCATTTCCTTGAGTTTTGTCAACATAACAACAATGGTTGAATTGTGTTCCCAAAGCATTCGCCAGAAATCTTCGGCCGTGTCTTGAAGCGGCCCTTGTGCAGCAATATAAGCGCTTCTATATCGGTATCCGTCGATGAAGCTGGCATTGATGTAATCACTGCCTTCAACACCACGAATCGGCGCCAAACATACTCGACTCGATTCGTACGGCAGAATATGAACTAGTCGATTTTTGTGCTTGTTGCACGGCAAATTGGCCGCAACAAATCGCATCGAATCGGCCTTCACATTTGCCAATTTCTTAAATTCCATTTCCATGCCTGTGATATTCTCCCCTGGTTCGGTTTGCATCAATTTCTGTATGTGATTATGTAAATTACGTGCTGGAAAACGAATGATGAAAGGAAAAAGAAATTGAATTTATTTTTTTAATATCATTGAGGGCATTGAAACAATATCACCAAAGTAAACCAGAGCAAACCAAATGAAAAATCGAATTTTTGGCTATTACCTGGAACTTCAGTGCTACCACAAATGATTGCTTCGAGTATTGCGTCATGTATGAAAATATATTGGTCTTCGGTTTGTACCTACATTTCAAAAAGATTGAGAAAATGATTTAAAATTCGAAAGTCTTTCAACGGCACAAAATTCCAAAAATGATGCAGCGAATGACACCTACCATATAGTTTCTTTGCGCACGCAAGCACGTGACATGACCGTAAATATCAATCGTTTTCTCGTGCTTCATGCGTTCAAGCATTGAATCGATCACAATGTAACAGCCAGTTCGACCGACACCAGCCGAACAATGCACAACAATTGGACCGGCGTCTGGTGTTGACAACGAACGACATCTGCGTAGGAATTGTAAAAATGGTGCCGGATGATCGGGAACCTAGAAGAAAATCATGGATTAAAATGTGTCGTCTTTGACAGGGATGAAATTAAGTCATTCAAATACATTAACTAAACCAAATGTTTCAAATATTTGTGAAAAAAAAAATCAAAATCGAAATCAAAATTCAATAAAAATTTAAAATAAAATGAAAAAAAGTAAATCGCGGTCAACTTACCCCATGATCTGGCCAAGCCGTAAATTGCAACTGTTTAATTTCACGGCGTTCAATGCTGCCCTGCCTTGAAATTTGGAATGTTCGTATGCAGTATGTGGCCAGCTCCTGTGTTTCTGTAATTGTAACCGTCATTTGATCATATGTTTCAGATCCACGTGTCGGCCAGTATTGATCGCACTTGATTCGTGCACGGTCCTCCAATCGTGTCATCATGACGATCATATTCGTACGTAATTCCCAGCACATGCGCCAAAAATCAGCGCAAGTGTCTTGCAACGGACCTTGTGTAGCAACGTATGCATTGTGTTTGCGATAACCATCACAATAATTTGCATTGATATAATCCGAGCCGGCTTTGCCTTCCATTGACTGCAAAATCACTCTGCTGTGATCATATGCAGTGACATTAGCATAGCGATTTTTCGGTTTATTAGATTCATTATTCGAATGATCCCACATAAACTGTTGACCGGGTTCAATGCTTTCGTACTCTTGTGAGAATTTCAAGTTGTCGTTGGATTTCAGGCGTTCCAAGTGATTGGCAAAGTCTGAAATGGTGATAGGTGGATGGCTGACCATGCCCGGTGTTTGGAAGTTAAGACGTCGCATATCAACTGGATCGGTTGGTGCTGGTCCGGCTCCTAAATCTGCTGCCATCAATGGTCGTGTCACTGCTGATTGATCGGGTGCTTTGCAAGGTTGACGACGTCGTTTCATAACATAGAATGCAACTAAACATGTACACATAACGATCGCTAGCAACATTGGGCCAATTATCCACACCATCTCCGGTTCATCCTTATTCTTATTCACCGATACTTCAATGTCATGTGGTAAATTTGGATTTGGACGATTCGGTGCTTCGCCGGGTGGTGCCTCACGCATATTAAGAGACAAAAATTCGGAGAATGGACTCGATGTGTACAAATGTTTTTGTGGTGTGTCAACAACAGCTCGAACGAAAATGCGGTAGCGTTTATCTTTTTCCAATTTTTTATTGGTGAAATTGTGTTGAGTTTCACCTGAGCCCAAATGGAATGTGTATGGGATGCCTCGTTGTGGGAATTTTGCTGCAATATATGGGTTATTTGGTCGATCGGATTTTCCAGGCTGTGGCAAAATTTCATCGTTCAAAAATTGATCTGGATTCTTGTGCGCATTTGACTTATCCTCCGGCACGACAACGAGATAATAATGCGAAATTGGGCCATATTCCTCCGATGCTTGTGGTAAAATCACTTGAATCTCCTCACCATTGACAACGCCATAGAAATCGGGTTTGACCATTGGTTGTGGTGCAGCCATTTGTGTTGTTACTGTTATCTTCGTTGGTGGACGATATGAATTATCATTCGGAATTGCACTCACATTTACATTATACGTTGTGAATGGTGACAGTTCACCAATCATATGGCTTCGAATGTGATGTTTCAGCATAATTTCTCGGCGTTGAATATTCTGCGTTTGTGTTATTCCTTGACTGTCGACAAATTCCTTAACGGCATCAAAACTGATCTTGTAGCTAATCGGATTCAATCGAATCGGAGGCGACCAACTTAGTGACATCGAATGGGTGCTTACATCATAGGCGCGCAAATTCAATGGAACATCTTCTGGTTTTACTTTCACCGTAATTTTCTCGCTCAATCGTCCCAGGCCATTTTTGAATCGAGCCGCAATCGCAATTGCATACTGGGCGAATTTCTCAAGATTCACCAAATCAGCGGACTCTGTGACGCCAACCGTTTTTGTTTGCCATTCATCCAAGTCTTCGATAGCGGTCATTGTGTAGAAGATTTGATAGCCCAATAACTTGCCTCGCGATGGAACTGCTTCCCACCAAACTTCAACGGTTTGTTCCGATGTGGCCACAGCTTGAACAGTCATTGGTGCACGACCCATGTCACGTTCGGTTTCGATGATTCTCTTCTCGCTAAATGGTCCGGCGCCTTGTTTTGTGTGAGCACGAATGCGGAATACATATTCGGTATTTTCTTCCAAATTAGTAAAAACTGCTTTGCGACTCGTTGTATTGCGTTCAGTGCCTAGGCCATGATCGATCTTCTTATGGAATTGTACGTCATATCGCGTAATTTTACCGTTGCTATGCTCTCTGGTTGGTGGATCCCAAGTGATGCACAAGACGTCCGGAGTTTGGAATCGAACGGAAATATTGGCGGGTGATCCATTTGGTACGCCTTCGGGTGTTTCCAAGTATTTCACCGTTTCTTGACCAATTCCAATGTGATTCATGCCAGCAACACGAAACTCGTACTGCACTCCACGATCCAAATCCTTGATTTTCTTCACCGTTGAGTGCTGCCCGTTCAAAACTTCCTCGTGGAATTTCTCGTCTTTTATTCCCCAACGCAAACGATAGCCACGCAATTCACCATAGGTTTGATTTGGTCGTTCCCATTCCAATTCAATTGAGACAGTCGGATCGCGTTCCAATATTTTGATATTCATCACCGGACGAACGGGTACACCGCCTGGTGTTTTTGCAATTATTGCCGGGCTACGATCACCATCACCTTTTCGGGTTAATGCCGCCACTTGGACGGAATATTTGGTATCCGGTTGTAAACCACTCACATTATACTCCAGAGCATCGGTTACATCGAATTTCAAAGGTTCGTTGAGGAAATTGCGACCCTGATCATGGGAGAGATATTCATTAAACATTTGGGAATCATAAAGGAAATTGAATTAATTTCTTTTTCATTTTTCATCAACTAATTTTACTAAACGATCAAACGGTGAGTCAAACATTTTATATGCAAATGATCAACACCTAGCAAAAATTGACTTAAAAAATCAACTCTTCGACTTTGCATTCAAACACAAACCTCTTCTTTCGTTTCCTGAACGTGAATGTGATAGCCCATAATGATGCCGTTGCGATCTTTTTCCTGCGGTGGTTTCCAAATCACATGAAGCGTTGTCGAATTAATGGCATTAACTCGAACATCTTGTGGTTCACCAGGCACTGTTACGTCGAAATAAAAACCCATTTCGATTAGAATCTATTTTTAAGTGTGTGTTTTTTTGAAATCAACAAAAAAAATTGCTTAAAACACAAAATTCTATCGATTTGTTTGACTTTTCTCTATATTCAGTTTGTCTAGTGTATACAACTCTGTTTCTCCTATCTAACGACAAGTGAAAAAAAAATAACAACAGAAAATCAGGTTAGTTTGTTAAACAGAAGATAGATTTTCTTTGTGTTGTTCCTACAAATTGAAACAGTGAACATCACAAATCGACCTCATCATCAACCTTGTGTGATTTAAACCCTACATCTCTGTACATTGACGACACCTAACTCGTGTTTGTGCAATATTTTTTTTTCAAGTTGTTGCTACACATTTGAATACCAAATCGTGAATTTGTCACAACCCTTTTTAAACAGAAAATAAAGAAGAAAACACTATTCGAGTGCCAGACGATGACTCAAAAGATTATTTGGTTTTTTGTTATTTTTGTTGTTGTTGTTAATTAGAAAATCAAACAAAAAGTCCGGTAAGCTTCCATTTTTGAATGCAAGAAAAAAGATTGGTTTTTTATGATTAATTAAGAAAGAAAGAAATATCGGAAAGAAAAAGAGACAAAAAATCCTCAGCAGGTTGCATGTTGAAGAGAAAGAAAATATAAAGAAAGAAATGCACAAAGAAAATATTTTTCGGTTTTAATTGTAAAGACAAAAAATTATTTAAATGATAAATTGTTTGAAATTAGTAATATTTTGCAGGAAAAGCCATCTTCATTCAACTCCAACGCATATTTGAATGCTGAAAACAATTATCACTAATTTGAAGGAAAAAAAACTAAGAAAAATCCTAGAAAATTGAGAAATAAATTTGATTGAAAAATGAACAAAAATATGAAAAAAATTCCATAAAAATGGTTAAATATCGAGAAAAAAATATAAAAATCATTTTGAAGAATTCTGAAGATAATTAAAAAGTCTTAAATTGATGAACAAAATTTAAAATCATTAAAAAACGATTGATCGAATTGCGAAAAAAGTGATGAATAAATATTCAATTTTTTTTTTCTAGAAGCAGCAAAATCCAAAAACAACCAGACAAATCAAAAATGTCGTGTGAAATTCCAATTTCCACGATGCAAAAAATGCAACAAAAAACAACTCTGGACCAATGTATTGTGTCCATGAGTAAGGAAAAAATCAAAATAAAATCACACGCACACAACAAAAATCAAAAATAGATCATTGTATGGTGTCATTTTTGGAAAAAAGGTCATCTAAATGGTTTTAATTAATGTTTGGTTTACGTCTCGGTACTCACTCTTAACGTCTGTTTCGTAAATGTTTTGATTTAAATTGAAATCGTTATGGTTTTTTTAGTTAGTTTTGTGTGTGTGGTTTTTTTTTTAAATCCGTTTTTGTTCATGAAAAAAATCGTGTGTCGGAGGAGTGAATGCGAAGCCCATGCAATACGCGAACACGCGTGTGGCGCGGCGCGGCGCACACAACAATACACAAAAATGCAAAAAATATCGTATTGGTTGTTGGCGCAATGGCGACGATTAACCGATGTGCAGAAAATCAGTTGACGCAGATACAAAAAAGAGCAAACAAACGAAAAAAAAGAACAAATCAGATGAATGAGACCATTGAAATCAGATTGATCTATGTTATAAAATTAATTTTATCAATGAATTGTGTCTAAAAGGTTTTGGTTTTATGTTGAGAGTTGATTTTCCATCGGTATCGCATCCTCCTGTGATATAAAGTCATCTTGAATGTAATTTATCAAAAATAAATGGTATCAAAAATCAAAATTTTCCATTTTTATGGTGATGGCAAAGGGCTTTGTTTGCAAAAACAAACAAAAAAACATCGAATTACTAAGATGATGATGATGAAGTACGAAAACAAATTGAAACGGAACAAAAAAGTGATGATTAACACGAGATGAACGGATTGAAATGAGACAGTTTTAATTTCAAGACTTGCACACATTTTTTAGTATTTTTCCTAGCGCTTTTTCAAACACAAAAAAAAATTGTCGTGCTTCCATTTCTGGGGGGATTCAAAGTACCGCACAGAAAAAGAAAAGAATATGATTGATCGCATAAAAACACAAAAAATTCTAAGTCGGAATTCGGCGTATTCTATTGGTCTGAAACGAAAAAAATGTTTAGTACATTTTCGGTTTTTGCTCACACAGTCACGAAATGAGCCATTTCCGCGAATTTTTCTTTAATCGGACAAGCTTTCTCGTTCTCTTTAAGAATTTTTCTGAAAATGCTACTTTCGGGTCTTTGAAGATGGGATTTTCTTGTATTTTCGATCATCTTTTTAATGTTTTTCTAAATTTGTTATAAGAAATATTTTGTTCAACCGTTTTAATGTTTGATTCTTTCATATAATTGCGAACAAAAAATTATAGGTTGTGACCATTCATGCAGGGAGAAAATGCGTTGCCAGAAATAAGCTTAAAATGCAATTAATGTTTCAATACAATTTTAAGCGGTTTAATATTTAATTGTATTAACACGATTAGTTAAGGTAAAATAAACCAAGGATACCACTTTGAAAATATTTCAAAATATTGTAAAAGCCCATTTCAACAATATAAGCCATGACATTCAACAATGAATCCTTATTTGTTGTAACAAACAAAATATTGGTAAAAACCAAAAAAATTCTGTCAATAAGACAGGCTATGGTTTCCAAATCACATCGCCAATACTTGGCGACGTCAATAAATACAAATACATCGAACGTTTCCTCAATGTCATTCCATGAAAATGGCTCATTTCTTGCTGTCTGTTAACCTGGCAATAAATCGTTTTGGTTCTTCATGCATGAAGCCAACAAAAAAAAGTAAAGAATGACAGTCTAACCATGAAAAAGTCCGGTTTCATGTTTGAATCGATGGATGTCTTAAAGGAAATGATAAGTGTTGTGAGTATATCGTAGTTAATCATAGCCTGTGGTTGGTATTCAAATGTATAAAATCTTGTTCCCTGTCCCTGAGTACCTCCGAACAAAAAAGCCCTATCAAATCTGTATCAAATAAGTATGGCACCTTTCGAACAAACGCTTCGGTTTTCAAATAATCGTTTACCATTCATTCATTCAACGTTGAACAACTCAGTTCAGAATGTAACAACTTAAATAAAAACGGAACACAAACGGAAAACACAAACATGAATTTGATTATTTGTTTCATCAGTTTCGTGGAAATATTGTATTCATTTTGGTTTTTTTTCTTCATTTTTTTTCCATTGTATTTTTTCGGTGGTTTTCTGATTGATTCCATGCCCATTCACACGTTTCGATACCTGACTAAATAATTGAACAACAATTATGAATAATAATATGGATAAATCTCTCGCTCTCGCATTCGATGCAATCTCTTGGTTTTGGAATTTGCGTGCGCACGGCCAATCGAAAAGTTGATTCATCCGTTTTCGTTTTTTTCAGCTCTTTGTCTATCACTTGAATTGAATAACAAACGAATTTTTCTAAGGAAAAACGTATCGAAATGATAAACAGATTGGTGCAGATAACACAAAACAATAAACCATAAAGTGTGTCAATCATAATTTTGTGTGGTGCTTTTCATTTATTATAAAAACGTTGCACATAACAATAAACTAGAGAATAATTTGGATAATTTTTTTTTTGGTTGTTTCATTGGCACAAATTGAGCGATATGCATTCGATAAATTTTAATTGGTGCTTCTTTGTTCTTTGATTGTGCGTTTGCGTTTGTCAAATGACACAATTCCGATTGATATCTAATTGAATTTGGTGCATTTCAGTGCGTTTGAACAACGTGAAACAAAAACAAATTGACTGCTTCAAAAGGTGAATTGGTGCATGTGAATTGCTCTATCAGTAAGTGCACGGTTTTATAATAAAGTGCAATCAAAAATAAATTTCAAGTGCATTGTTCCAAAAGATAACTTGATTTTAGGCTACTAAATTGGTGCCGTTGATTTAAAATACAAAACCAAACTAAAGAAGAAAAAAAATCGAAGGAAAAAACACTCAGAGTTTTTCTTGAAAATCTAAAATAAATGTCCCCTGCAAAATTTATAGTTTTTTTTTGTGTGTGAATCTGTTTGATTTGTTCGATTATTCTTTATAGAAACAACTACGATAAATAGGTGCTCGGTGTGTGTATGTGTGAAAAACAAAACAAAATTATGTGCAATTTATTTAAAATACTGTCAAATCTTGGTGCCCTTGTTTGGAAAATAAAATTCTTCTTAGTGTTGGTGGTCTTAATTCTAATTCGAGCTTTTATTTTGGTGATGTGTGTGCGAGAATGGGTTTTGTGTGCGAAAAGTGCTAAAGCAAATTTTCGGTGGATTTTTTTTACGTATTGTGATGCATTTTAGGGATAGTGATTCAGGGATTTGAAATGAGAGGAAAATGACCACGAAATTGTTTTAACTCGGGCAATCTCCTCGTTACGCGCAACAAAAATCGACGCGTTCTCAAAAAACGAAATATGTGCCGAAAAAAATGACCAGGTGCAAACAAAAACTCAAAAAGTGCAACGAACTGCTCAAAATCCGTATATCCAACGAGTCTCAAAATTCTTCAACGAGTCTCAGAATTTTTGGAAAACGAGCCTTATAAGACTCAATTGTATGCAATTATTTTCCAACAAAGTCTTAAACATGTCGAAATTCCACTCAAAACCGCATCAAAAGGACGTATTACTTTGCATTCATTGAATACTTATACAAAAATCAAGGCGTATTCCAATGAATAAAATGCAATGACATCGACATTGAGATGAAATTCGATTTTGTGTTGAAATTTCGATGAAGCGCTTCATCAGACAGTTCTAAGATTTTGTTGAACAAATTTGGGAAAACTCGGCTGGATATTAAGGTGGCATATTCATTTAATAAGAGCATTGAAAAAAAAAACTGAAATCGAATGCCAAAAATTGAAGCAAAATCAAAAAGCCGACTTCAATACTCGAAAAAGTATGTCTGTGCGTTAGGTGTGTGCGTTTCAATCGTAATAATATTTAAAGAAAAACATGCACTATTTCTTTTGCATTGACTTATTTAGACAGCCTCAGTGTTAATGATTACTATTTAAAGAACTACTACGCAATTCAAACAAGTGAAAATAAAATTGCGAAAATTTAGTGAAAAACTAAGTTCATACCAAAAAACGGTGCGGTGCTTGAAATTCGATTGAAAAATTGTGATAAATGAATAAAAATAAGTTGTATAAAAGAAGTTTGCAAAATTTCTTTGGGATTGGATAAATGGGATTTAATTGCGCAACGAAATAAATCCCAGAATATTGCATATGCTTTTCGGATAAGATCGTGCTGAATGGAAATCTATCTCTCTAAATGATGGTCAGCAGAAGAGAAAAAGTAAATAGATTTGAATCGTAGCAGCTGGCATTAAATGTGTTCCATTCATTCATTGATAAACAAACATATCTGTTGACAAAAATCATCCGTTGACACAATTTCGCTTTATATCCATGCACGTTGTAGCTTGAAAATTGGTTCAAAATAGAGACGAAATGCGACCGAGCGTTTTATTTATGAGCTCAACAGATAAGCTTCAGTCAACAGAGATATTTATGCATATAAATTTGGTTAAAAAAAAACGAACGAAATAAAAAAAACCTGGTGCACAATATTGTGCTTATCTTATTGCAATAATATTAAAAGCGGATGAAACACGTTCAATTTACTTGATGGAAATACTAAAGCAAACCCCTTTATGGCTATCGTTATGCGTGCTTTTTCTCTCAAAATTTACTACTTGGCAGCGCATCCCTCGAGGCCTCGTTATAAAAGCTCAAACAGAATTGACAAAAAAAAAACATTTATGCACATTTGGTGGCCCAAAAAGTATGTTAAATACAGATTAAATGATAATGCTGCCATTTTATAATTGCATGGCTGAATGAAGCGAAAAAACTATGCTATCTGGTTATCTGTGTACACAAATGCAGAAAATATTTTTTTTTTTTTTATATAAAAACATAAAGAGTTTCGCGCATTTTCCGAAATAATTCCGAGTAAATAATTCAACGGAATCAACCTCATTTTTGTTGAATTTTTGTACATTAGCATTTCCATCAAGTATTCCTTTGATCAGTATGCACAACTTACATGCTTCAATTGTGCAGTGTGTGGTGGGTTTTCGAACAACACAGAGCTACATTTAATGCCAACATTTATATATATAAAGCAAAAATCTCACGATTGCATCATTCCCCGAAAAACATATGCGGTTTGCATTCAACAGCTTACATTTATTAATGAAAATATGTTTTACCAGCAGATCTTCGTTTTTCACAGTGTGAATTGGCTGTTTGTGTGGGAAAAATGAAGATCCACATTGTAACGATTAACTGTTACAACAGTTTGATTGTATACTGAAAATTGAGTCGAAATGAAAATTGACGAGCATTCTGCATGGCGTGAGTAATTCGACCGAGTTTTTGTATAGTGCGGCATTCAAACCGGTCTGAAGTTCAGACTCAGATTCTGAACTCGTGAACTATATTCATTTCAATATGTTTTATTTTATTTAACAATGCCAAGCTCTGGCTGAATGAAGCAGAGGTTTGGTCGGAAAAGAGTACGAGAACTGTTGCAATGATTGATTATTTCTAGCCTCGTTAAAAACCTGGCTACTCCTATAGCATCCGTCTGTTTTAATAAAGAATTATTTTTTCGTTTATTTTACACGCAGCGTGAACTTTCGAACGCAAAATATCTCATTTTAATGTAAAATGCTCGACGTCGACTCGAATTCCAATCTCTGGAACACTCCAAAACGACAAATGAGTCGTGGCTATTCCAGTGATTGAAATATTTAAAATAAACAGAGAAATAGATGTCATAAAAAAGGTATTTGAATAAATTGATTTTTTTATCTTCAAAAAATTTGATAAATTGTGTGTTTTAAAAAAAATGTGTATGGTTTTAGACGTCAAAAATGTATTTGTCCAGATCCATTTGGTTTGCTACCTGTAAAAAAATGCTCAAAAAATTGGCTCAAAAATGGTGTCACCATTCATGTGAAATAAATGGATGAAAATATTCAAAAAAAATTATGTTTCATCAAAAAAAAAATGTGTAAGGAGTGTGTGTGTGGAATGTTGTAGGTGTTGAATGATTTGTGGGCATATCCGGCACTCACACTCACAATACATTCGCTGAATACATTTAAAGCGTAACTTTAATACATCCCCATTGAATGCTTTGAAATTGTGATGCTATTGCCGCCTACAAATTGCCAACACACAATTCGGGTTGCATATTTTCATATAGCTTCAAGTGGCTCCTTTCGTTCAATCGCTCGCTTCTTTGTTTTTTTGTCTCATTCGAGTAGTTAGTAAGTGTTATTTTTTTTGGTTAGTAATTGTTTTTAGATTTTTTGGTTATCGTTTTTGTTTGTTTTGTTTGATGTGTGTTTTTTTTTTGTTTGGTTTTTATATATGTTACATACCGTCCTCAAGTGTTCGTACAACGATTGGATATGATCGTGGTCCATCACCGATACGTGTGCCAGCTAATACCCAAATCTTATAATCGGTCCATCGTTTCAATTCGTCCAAAATGATTTCGGTGACATTGAGTGTCGTGACCGATGCCTCGCTATCGGACAGACCATTTTCCACGAGGAATAATTTGAAGTAAACAATTTTACCATTTGATCGTTCAGCTGGTGGCGGTTGCCACGATACAGCTATCGTTGTCGGGCTGGTTGCTTCTGCGCTGATATTAGTTGGCGGTGCACCCGGCACTAATTTTTCAGTCGAATCCAATCACATTTTATACATGTATACATATTATCAACGATTATTTTCGGGTGCATTCGGTATAATTTTTGTTTTTTGTTTTTCATTTGGTTTTGTCATCAAAATTGTTTGTGTGTGTTGTTGTAATTTTGATAATTGTCGTTTTTGGTCCATGTGTATGTGTTTGTGTATGTTTTGGGCATGTGTGATTGTGTGTATGTGTTGTTGTTGTTGTTGTGTGCGTGTATGTAAATTGATGTTTAATTTTGTTTATACCGAGTGTAAATGTGTGTTGAATTAAATCAAATCAAAACACACACACAAAACCAAAATAAAATCAAGCGCAAAAACATAAAAATGAAAAGAAAAAAAAGAGAAAAAAAGCAATTAGTGAATTTAAATTTGAAAATAAAAAATGTATGCTTGAAATGGAAATAAAGCTAAAATAAACACGTCAAATTTATTTGGTAAATTTAAGCACGGAACCATTTTCCGTAAAAATTGAAGCAAAAAAAATGATAAAGCATTGAAATGAAAACTGAAAAATAAATCACTCGAAATAAAACAAGAGTCAAAATGTTAAATAAATGAACGAAAAGCAAGGATAAACTCCAGAACAAATCATATTGGAATAAAATGTGTGTTTCCTGTGAAAAAAAGCATATCTTCAAAAGTTCCATTCTGTGAATGGAGCAAATCAATTGAATAGAAGAAATTGGCATTTACCGTTGGCTTCATTATCAATCATAAAATCCCGTTTTATTTTTCGGATTGAATGAATAAAGTGTGTTTTTTGTATTGGAATTCGGTTTGTTTGTATATTTTTTTTTCGTTTTTTTTTTGTTTCAAATGGAGAAAGAGTATATTCAAATGAGAATGAGGGGGGGAGAAAGAGTTGTAAATATTTTCGATAATTTTCAATTATTATTATTTATTGCAACGTTTGATGCGTTGAAGTGTAGATTAAATGTAAATATTTATTTGGACAGAAAAAAAATGTGCTATTTTTACTTGGTGCGAAAAAAATTTGCCAAAAAAATTGTGTGCGTTTGCTCATTGTTGCTTCTTTATTTTTTATACAGACAAAAACAAATTGTGATTGTGAAATACACAACACCAAAAACCAAATGTTTTTTTATTTCGTAATAAAATCGATTTTCTTTTTGAGTGCGATTTTCCGTACGTTTTCTGTACGAAATATTACAAAAAGAAACGAACAAACCGAAAAAATAGAGTATATGTTTTGTTACGGTGGTGGTGGTAGTGGTGGTGGTGTACTCGCAAAAATGTGTTCAACTAAAATGAAAACCAACCAACGGAAAAAAACCAACAAAAAAAAAACATTTGAGTGCGAAATACGTGTTGCTCTTCAACTGTGTGGATACAAAAGTGTGTGAGTGCATAGTAGCATATCAAAAAGGTGCGATGGTGCTCCAAATATATAAAACGTGTATTTATATTTATATTTATTTATATGAACGTAAAAACAAAAACAAAAATGAATAAAGGTGTGGTGAATAACATCGAAAACATTTTAATTGTTCTTTTGCTCTTGCTTGTTGTTGAATCGAATATCGGAAAAATTGAATTGAAAACCAAAAAAATGTGAACAAAAATAAACACTCAATAGTTTGAAGCATGCAATTCGTTTGTTTTCACAAATGAAGAAAAAAAACACACAAATTTCTCTCTCGCTCTCTCGGTTAAATAAAACGGTAGAAAACCAAAATCATCAAACTCTTCACACCAAACAATTTCACTCAAAATATAGGCTTTTCTCTGTGAGTACTCTGGTAGAAAACACACACACGAAAAAAAATCATTGATGAAAAAGGAAAAATTCAATAAAAAAAAATACACTCAAAAAGCACACACACACAGAAAGCATGGGTAGCCTTTTAGAGCCAAACACTGTTTGGATTGGCCCAAACAGTTACCAAAAGTACACTTAAAACTGAAGGAGTTTGGAATAAAACTCAAAACAACTCACACAATTGCTGATTTTAACAATAAACTCTCTCGTGCGTCGGTTTCGCGACGATGTTATACAGAAAAACGGAAACATAAACATCAACAATGGAATCAATCAAAAAATTCCGCTCAAACCCAATAATGTGATTCAAATCCAACTGATTTTCCAAATAAAATCAAGAAAATACTTAAACTAAAAACAGAAGAAAAAGAATACACAACTGAATCGATTGTCACACATACGCGTTAACGAAATAGAACTCAAGACGACTCAAGTGGAAGTAATATTCACTTGACACACACACACACATGTGTGTGTGTGATTAGAGACGTCGATTTGCGATTTTTCACATTCAATGCTCCAGTGAATCGGAACAAATTGATTCAATCGATATATCAATTGCAATCAAACGGCAGTTGCATCTCAATCGCAATTGAATCAATTTATTAGATGTATCACAGTGCAACAAATCTTCACTCATTCATTTCTACTCACACATTCACACACATTTGCATCGAATGGTTTTCGATATGTGTCACTCGGTGCATTTTTCCCATCCAACCAAAAGCAAACAACAGTCATTAATTGACTTTGATACACAAAATGAAAAGAAAACCAAAAATCAACTGCTTTTTTTCTTGTCTCTTGTTGTTGTTTTTTTCCAAAGCATTTCTCTCGTGAAATCACTCATACAGAAATGCACACTCAACAGCCACTCAAAATCAGACACAATGTAACACACCAAATTGCTTTTTTTTTGTTCGTCTGTGGTGCACAACCACAGATATGGATATGTGAGCACTCTCAAACTGTGATTTAACACACACTTCAGTTGTTCCGCATCAGAATGTCCTTTCGCAATACGCTTTGATGCCCACGCGTTTATTCAACGATATTTCATTAACATTGACTCTGTGTTTTTTTTTCTCTTTCAAAAAGTTTCGTTTCTCAAAAATTTTGGTTGTTTTTTTCTCTCGAAAAATTCCATTTTCAAAAATTCATACGACAAAAAATGCGTCTTCTCCACAAAAATCCTTCATATTTTTTTTTTTCATTCAAAAATCTTCATCCTTTTTTTTTGTATTAAATCCAAAAATCAATTGATTCCCAAAAAAACCTAACTCTATGAACTTTCGCGCCGTAAAAAAACAAGTTTTAAGAATAGAAAATGGTAATGTGATTGCTTACCGTATTGTTTGGTTCGAACTGGAATTGGTGGTGTTGTTGCACCTTCGCCGCGTTGCGATCGAGCTGCCAACCATATATAGTACAGTGTGTCCGGATACAAACCCGTCAATTTATATGATTCAGTATTTGCGATGCGTCTAGAATTTTAAAGGGAAAAATCATAATTCGCAAACGAAGCGTTCGCACGAATGGATGGAACGAAGCAAAAATGGATAATTGGAGAGATGTCATTGCAAGAAATGTTGAAAATTGTATTTAAATAGATAATCATCTGGGATAATGGTTATAAAGTGTTTCTGTGTTGAAACTGTCGAATCGCTATTAGCAACTGGCAATAAAAAGCCAGCGAGGTAGAGAGATAGGGAAAAAACATGAAAACTTACTTGTGATGCGCTTCATTTGCATACGTATCATTCCAATACAGTTCATATTGAACGATATTTTCATTGGAATGAATTGGTTTCGACCATTGTAGCACCACATCGGTTTCTCCAATATCGGTCGCACGGAAATTGCTTGGCTGTGACGGAACACCTGATTTTGTTTACCCATCAAAATGGAGCGAGCAAAGTGTGTGTGTGTGTGTGTGGTTGATTTTTTGTTGTTGTTTCATTTTTTCCCATCATATTCAGAAGTGAAAATTCAATTGGAAGTTCCCCCGAGGATGTCGATGCAAATCGACAATATTGTCCAAGTTATGTCGAAAAGTTGATCATCGAAGCGGCATTCAATGGTTGTGTTGCATTTGTGAATATGAAATAAAATCATATTTAGTTATTGTCATTCAAATTGGTTTGAATGGTGCTTGTTGGGGTGGTTGTTTGTTTCGTGAGTGTGTCAATTCAACAAGAACAACAGAAAACATAATGAAATTCATCTATACGGACCTTGTTGGGTTTTCACTTTAACTGGATTCGACATTGGACCGGCCCCCATCGATGTGAACGCCTGTACACGTACTGTGTAAATGGCGAGCGGTGTTAATTCGGATATTGTTGTTAATTCGCTATTGTCGACCATTTGCGAGTCCCAAGACGCTTCTGGCTGATTTGGATTCGTTGTATAATAGACTTTGTAGCCCTGTAATCGAATTAAAAAATCGCATCGTTACATTCGACACACATACTAAATCATTCCTTCTGGTTTTGGTGTTGACTGGCGCGAACATTTGCCCGAAATTGGTCAACGCGAAGAAAAAAATTGGAAAATTCACTTCGAAAAAGCCATAACTTCATTGTTCAATACAAAAAACATTGAAAAACTCATATTGCGAGGCGAATTCGCTTGATATTTGCCATTTCGATACACCCAATCCGACATACTTTGAAAATGTTCGAAAAAAGGTTTTTTCTGAGCAAAATTCATCTTCTCATCCAATGAGCGGCAAAAGACTTGCATAGAGCGAAATAAAAGGCGCTAATCCAAAATCCATATATTCTGGCCAAAACTTTGGCCAAATTCCATTCCGGTCAAACAGCAAGCACAAGGAAGTTGGTCGAAGAAACGTACGGTCTTCCTTGAAAACATGCTATTCACCGCAATTTTCATAAGTTTCTTTAAATACACTTTGAAAGTTGTATAATTATTGGGCAACATTCGGGTAACAATAATAAGTGACAACGATGCATGGTAAAGGCAGGACAGGAAGAATAGAACGGCAACAGTTTGTAAGATGCGAAAGTTTTCGTTGCGAGATGAAGAGAATGTTCTGCCTGGATATGGATTCATATTTCTCCATATATACGAACTGCATCATCATTCACAAAGTCGGCAGACGAACGGATTGGAATGGAACGAAGAAGCGACACGCACACATCGAATAGGATTTCAACGTTGAAGCCATTTCTCTTCGAAATATTAGCTTTTATTAGGCTATTATTTTCTCTATTGGTTATTATATTCCTGAATAATAATGCTGAGGGGATCGGTTTTTGCATGACCGGATATTACATTGAATGGCTTTCCATTAGGATACAAAAGACGTTAAACATTATGTTGTACACAGTTTCAGAACTTTCGCATCTTCTTCGATCGGATTCTTCGGTCGGATCGTTGGTCTTGGACGTTCTAGGCAACAGAAACATGTCTACACTAATTAAAGTAAATGTTGATGTTTGCTTTTCCAATCCTTGTGCTTGTTTTTTTCTTCTTTTCCTCTGGCTCTGTGCATAGCTAGCCTAATTGAACTACACATGTTCAAGAAAATCGATTCTCATTTGCAAAGTATGTCGATTCATTAAAAAGTTTAAAGTTTTCGTCGGCATTCTTGCTTCAACTTACAGTAACTTGTCCATTGGGCGTCTCTGGTGGTTCCCAAGTTATCATCATCATGGACGAACTCAATGGTCGCACTTGAACATTCCTTGGTGCACTTTCCATTTCTGTAAGAAAATTATTTGGCAAAAAAAAACCGAATAGATTAACAACCAAAACTAAAACAGATTTAATCGAGCAATCGCATGATTTAATGGGATTACACACAAAAATTTATAGCAAATTTTCAAATTCGTGACACTTACTGGCACCTCCATTTATCGAATCATCTTCAGTTGGTTAATTTTTTTTATTTTTAGTTATGTACATTTATGTGGTGAGGTTTCGTGTGAATTTCGATTTTAGAGTTTGTGTATGTTTTTTTTGTTTTGTTTTGGGTGGATGTCAGTTTTGGATTTGTTATTTTGTGGATTAGTTTCAATACACACACACACAAATACAAAACAGCAAATGACGAAGATTGTGTGACAAACGCAATTTACATGTAGTGTGATTTGTTTTTGATTAGATTTTTGTTTTTTTTATATTTGATTGGTTGTGATATATAGTTAGTGATAGGTAGTGGCGGTGGCGGTGGTGATGTTATACATACAAATCGAAAGCATGAAAATAGACATGAAAAAGGTATTAGAGAGTTAAAAGCAATTTTCTTCTCTTGAAACAAAAAAAAAACAAATAAACAAATATGTAACAATATTGTTATGACGTAAAGAAAAAGAAATTGTATTCGGGCAATTCTTTGACACAGTTTTCCCGTTGTTTATCGTTGTTCGAAACTCAAATATTCAAACCGAAGAAAAAGCGGCGCGAAAGTAACAAAGGCGCGAAAGTAAGTAAGTAAGTTTTGAGAATAGTCTTTTTCTCTTTTGACCATTTTGAGCGGAAAGTAGCGCGAAACAATGGCAGTTAACAGGAATTGAACGAAGTAATTGTGAGAACTAAGAATTTTGTTTCGGAAGCTTTCAACGTTGCTCGTTCATCAAAAAAAATTCTTAAAAGAAAAAATGAAAAAATTACATTTTTCGACATAATGAAGTAAATTTTACGCGCATTTGAACTTAGTGAACTAGCATCGAGACTCGATGATAAAAATGAACGATACAAAGTATGTCGATACAAAGTGTCTCGTTATACAGAAAAGGGAGTCTCAATACAGAGTGTTGCCGAAAAACATGCAGTCGAAATGTAGGACGAGAATGAAGTATTGAAGTATACTTCATTACATTATACGATACGTATTGATGAGAAAAAAGCATTCAAAAAAAAAGTCGAAAATTTTCGTCAAAAAGCAAAAACTTTGCTGCAAAATCGCAAAGGATTTCTTCGAAAAATGTCGAACATCTCTCAAAGAATACGAATGACAGAGAAAAACGAACGAAAAAAAAATTAAACGGCCAATAAATAGTTTTGTTTTCAAATTTCGAGTACAATGTTTGACTTACAATGACGGTTATATGTGATTTTGATTGCAGACAACGTGAAACGCGGTTGCAAATAACGATTATTATGTTACAATCGGGCGAACAAGATGACGCAGCAGCAATTCATTACGATGAAATAGTAGAGAAATAAGGAGTTTTTTTTCGGTTATATTGATGTACAATTAGATGTTTACAGTATTAAATGGTTGAACGGCGATTTTTTTCAAAATTTCATTTCAAGAGAATAAAAACGGCTTTGGTACACAAACACAAGGTGAAAATGGGTTTAAAACGCAAACAAAACGCAAACAAAACGCAAACAGAACGCAAACAGAACGCAAACAACGAACAAAAAAAGTAACGAACGTAGAAACAAAGAAGTCTCACGATCACAAGTGAATAATGTTCACGCTTGTTGCGGATTCTATTGAAGGAGCACAAAAACAATTTAAATGATACACAATGGCAATTAATGGATGAAAGAAAATCATATCCCCAACTGAAGATAATGTTACATTTTATTCGTCTAAGAAATAGGCAAAAGAAAAATCTCGATGTCATTTCTCGCGTGATATGAAACAAAGAAAGTTCATTTTCTCCACCAACACAGAAGAAAGTGGAAGGGATTGTTGGGCGAAAATGAATTTTCTTCTTTTAAGCATCGAAATGAGAAATGGTGTAAACGCGCGCACGCGACCGATTGTGAGAAAGAATTTTGTTTGCATTTGGAAATGTTTGTCTTTTTTTTGTTCTTAAGTCAAAAGAATGAAAAGAATAGAGAAAGAGAAATGAAAATTAAATCGTGAAAACGTGAACTCAAATAAACCAATTAAAGAGTATATGCGAAGCCGAGTTCATGACACAATTTATACAATTCATTGTGTTCGGGCGAATAAATAAAAAAAAGCGGTTCTTACCTGTTTCACCGGTGGTCGTGGTGGCTGGAATGGATGGCGGTCCACGTCCGATATTATTCACAGCAATCACATAAAACTCATATTCCGTGTATGGGCTGAGCGCACGCACCACATAAAACATTGTTATAATGCCGCTAATCTCGCTAAATGCCTGCGCGTTCCAACGAGAAAAAAAAATCGTTGAACAACATTCCCGACGGACAACGAACGGGCGTGGAAGGAAAGAAAATTTTCTCGCATGAATAATAAGTAAGAAGAGAAATGCACATACAGAACGAAGGAAGGAATGAGAGTTTCGCATTTGAATATATTCGACATCGGAGGGAAATAACTCAAGTGCGAAAGGGGATACTTTTTGCCACTCTTTCAAATGGTCTTTGCCATTTAGTGTGTGAGCCTATCGAGGATATGTATATATCAAAAAGTGTGAAGATTTACCCGAGCAACTAGTTTGCAAAATGTAATTTTCCAAGAAAATTAAAATGTTCGCATTTCAGAAGCGATTTTGTCGCATGAAAAAAAGTTTTCTTTTGTCGCAAATGTAAATCGTGGAGCAAAAGCAGAGGGTAAAAACGAACCCTAAAGATTTTGCTATGACTTTTGTCGTCTGTGTTGCATTTTAGCTCTTTCTATTTGTCGCAACTAAACACTTTATTACAACTTTATTTTTCGTGTTGGTCGTCCTTTCATTGAGGTGAAGTCGTTTTGTGCGAATATGTGGCAAAAGTTATATCCATCCATATTCTCATTCTGGGGGCCGCCATAACTTCCTTCAAAACAAATGGCAACGGATGAGCGCTTACCTGATTTGCATTTTTCGGTTTGTACTGGATCACATAATACTGTAAATCTTCGGGTCCTTTGTAAGACCATTCAAGTCGTACAGATGTGGCAGCTACCTCAGATATGATAACATCAGTTGGTGCGGTTGGCAAAGCTATTTGTTCCGAATAGAAAATGGAAAAAAAGGAATCATCACCGTATGCACAAAATGCAACGTGTGGAATGGAAATTAAGTAGATTGGGATTAGTACGACAGTGCAGATTGAACAAGTCACAAGTAAAACGAAGTCAGAAATTGAATAAGTTAAGTGTGGGCTTCAAAAATCCCAGCAGCAGCAAAAATTTCATCTGCAGCATAGATGTTCATTTTGAAATTTATATTGATTTTGACTGGCGATAACTTTTCCTGAATACTGAGACTTTTCGCAAAAGTTTAATTAATTTTTGCCATGACTGGGGTTAAGCTCAGCACGTGCTTTGCTCGATGCTACGCTGTCAGTGGAATAATGTTATCGGGATGTGTGTATCACACATAAATTTTTCACTTACATTGAACTTTGACCATTGCATGCGCCTCGATCGTGCCCAATGTGGATGCAGCGATACATGTATAGTTGTTACTCTGCTGGATGTTCGTCAGTTCAAGCACATTTTTTCCAACTGGCATTTGATCTTCGGGCGTTAAATCAACGGCGCCTGACTTCCAACGCACGAATGGCATTGGCGATCCAACGGCAACACATTCCAAACTTAAATTGGCTCCAAGCATTATCTCATTTATTGGTTCGGGCAAACGGGAAAATGTCGGCGGTACACGGCGCTCCTTTACATACAGCTGCGTTGGCTTTGAATGTTCCGTTCCCACCGAATTCTCCGATACACACTCGAACTTTCCTTGATCCTCACGCACACTATCCACTATCTGTAGGCTTCCTGCAATTAGAACGGAAAAGATTCTCTTTTGTTTATACGCTTTTCATCTACGGCAGAAGTTTCAAAGCATTTTCATTTATATTTCGAAACGTTTTCACTGAAAATCATATATTCACATGGGCATATAGTTACTTTCAGTGCAGCGATTTTTTCTTTATTCAAAAAGGTTGAGACCGTGGTCGAAGCATGTGAACAACACCGTTGCTTTAAACGAATTTTTGACATTTCATAGAGTCGAACGGATCGGATTGATTACAAAAAGTACATCAATTTCAAAAATGTTACTAGCGGACGTCTCGCAATAGACTGAATACAGCCTGAGCGACGAGTCTTTGACTCCCTGCATTTATCCAATGGTCTCAGTCAGTGCACTGACTTCTGGAGTCAATAATAAAACTGAATTTATCTTTCGATTCCCGAAAAAATTGGCTTATATTTTCACATTTCCCCCATAAAGAATTCCTATAAGTCATTTCATTCACGAAGATTAGTCATAAGCAACCATTTTTCATAGGTAATGAAATTCGAATCCATTTGATCCAATACTAACAACGCGTTATTTCATTGAATGACATCATTTGCATTTTTTTTTGAATTGAGCTCATCATCCGAGTTGATTGCATGTGTTCCGGTAATGAGCTTTGCATGCAATTATTGATAACATTGGAGAAACCAATGCCGAATTTTTCGGTCGTTTCAACGTGTAATTTCATTTTGCATTATGGAAATTTTCGATCAATGAATCCATTGAAATACGTTTTGTGATGAATTTGCTGAAAATTTTCCCGAAATTCCTCTCATTTAAACAATTTACAAAATAACGGGCGTTGACCATTTGATTTGCTCTTTCTCCCTGGCCATCAAAATGAACACGATTGAAAAATGGTTACTGCGAAATTTGTTCTTTGGCTGTTAAATTAAATTGATTAAAATTCAAAGTGAAAAGCTGCACCTGAATGAATATCGTTGTTATGTAAAAATGCATAAATAATGCATACAACAAAAGCGTGTTCAATGTTCATTCATTACGAAATATGTTCTATATTTCCAGTTGGATGCCGATGATTTGCGAGCACAAAAATAAATTGGCTCAACGTACAACGAACGAATGGTCAGAAAAAGCGAACAAGAATCATGGTATTTTAAATGGGTAACAAAAACCAGCAACGACCAAGTGGTTTCATTTTTCAGTTAATAATGGGAATTTATGATTGTTCAACTTCAGCCAAAATGGTCAAATCATGTGGAAAATAAACTTATGGAATGCAAACGATGAATTTGTTTGTGAAACCAATGAGAGAGAAACAACAAAAAAACGCGGCGCATTTTTTGATTTGCAATTCATGATCACACACACACACAAAAAAGTGGTCAGAAGCCGTGAATTGCATGAATAAAAATTGTTTTCACAGATTTTAATTAAATAAATTGCAACGGATGAATTTATGACCATCGAATAGTTAATTAAGTGTGGTTTGAATTTAAAGAAACGAAAAAAATAATATAATAATATACCTTGTATGAACGATGCATGTGAATTTATTGGTGTCAATAACACCATATTGTTGTAATGAATAAATTACAGCAGCTGATGTCAGCGAAAAAAAAACAATTTCACAAATTGACAACCAAAAAAAAAACAAGACTTACCATCAATCAGTGTGTAGCGTTGATTCATTTCCAAACTTTTGCCATCCTTGAGCCAGTATATTTTCGGCGTTGGATTCCCAGTTGAACGGCATTGCATGACAGCGGTGTGGCCAATTTCAATGACTCGCGTCTGTGGACTCTGCGTGATTACGGGAAAACCACTCGGCGTTTTATCGACTGCAAAAGAAGAAGGGAAATTTTGATGAATTTGAAAAAGTTTTGATGCGATTTTTTTCTTTGAGAAATTTGACAAAATATTTCGTTCATGAAGAGAAACCATTTTTTTGTCCTTCATAGCAATATTTTTCTCGGTGATAAGGATACGGAATTTGATTTGGCTATTGCAAATTGCTTTGGCATAGCGATAACAATCCAAATTGTACACATCTGTACTGAATAAATGCGCATGGTGTATCGTATGAGCATGGAAATGGTTTCCATTCATTCGGCTTTGGGTTTTGGTACTCAGACGCCCGGAACGCTAACCATAATGGAACAGGTGTGTTTTGCTGTCATTTAATATCTTTTTTTACATTATCCGTGTCATTATTTTTATGGCCCTTTTGTTCTCCACTTGAGTTTTTTTTCTTCCCGTTCCCTAATTCACTCAAAATTTCACCATCCAAGGGATAGTATTCCTTTTGTTCGCTGTGTATGCGTGTACGTTCTTCACTTCCTTGTTGTTATAGTCTACTTGAAATGGCATTTTATATTCGGTTTGTCGCACCGTCACTTCGGACATATATTTATCAAATGGCGAGAATTGAAAAAAAATGTGGAATCAAATAAACAAAAGTCTTGAAAAAATGACACTCAGTATTTTTTCTCTCTCTTTTTTTTCACTCGACTATCTCTTTTCTCTATTTTCCTTTCGACCACATTGTATTTGTGTCGTTATCATTTCGCTTCCATGACCACCTTTCTAAGTACCAGATCATTGCTCTGCCAGTGGTATTTTACATCTTAGTTACTTTGCACAATTTTCAAATTATTTTCCCACATTGTTTGTGTGATTTTCGCCATTTCTTCACCTCATCAAAAATCATCCAGTCCATTGTGTGTGTAGGGTGCTTTTGTTCGCCTGATGATTTTTCATAACACCAAATACTGGCATTCATTGTTTAACCAAGCATATGGACAAGTCTATTATGTTGTGCAAAAAGATACCCAAAAGGACAGCTCCTTTGATGAAAAGAATGAGAAAAGATGACGATCGAGCGAGCGAGAGAGAGAGAGAGAGAGGGAGAGTGAATGAGGATGAGGGTGAGACGAGAGTGAGAGAAAAAGAAAAGACAGAAAGAAGGAGCGTCAGGGTATTTTTACATGAAATAATTATGGTTGTCATTTCCTTTTGATTCAAAGACATTTCCTCATTTTGGTTTTACGACTCAACGAATCACAAACACACACATCCAAGCCACAACAATCCCTTTTTCTTCGAACAGCAAAGAGAACTAACTCGGTCCATGAATTGCATTTACCAACATGACCAACATCACCGATTTTGATGTCCCCTTTTTTCTCAAGCTCTAGTCATTGTCATTTGATTTAGCCTGCGAGCACAACTTTAATCCGGCTGACCGATAGAGAGAATCTATAATGAAATTAAAATGTGATGAAAGCACAGTTTTTGACGATCTCAATCGAGCCACGTCACCCAAAGAGGAAAAAAAACTTTCTTCTGTTTATAAATTCTCGATAATCTAGCAAAAACTATTCCAATAATGTTGTTTTCACTCAATTTAATCTTTTGAAAACATGGTCATTTATTCATTTTATGTGCAAACATGTTTTTTCTCTCGCTTTTTGTATTCAGAAAAATGTGTTGATTTTGTGATGGAAATCTGTTTTTATCTCGAATAACATCCATTTAGATGGGAATAAAAGTGCAGCAAGCACGTCATTTCCTCCTCATGCTCCCGCAAACATCATCATAGATAACAATAATCGAGCAGTGAATGCAGTGGTCTGCAAGAAAATTGCGTCCAACTAATGGAATATTATGATCTTCATCACCATCACCACCATCGTCAACATTCATCGCAACCGTTTTCATCATTTACGCTTTATGATCGAACGACCGGAATGATGGATACATCTATAAGTGAGTGTTGGCAACAGCAGGTAAGCACAAATTAGACGACAATCTCTGTTATTTTGCACTTATAGAGCATCTGCGAACCGCGTCTCATGCCATCAATAGACGACACAATGATGATGACGCGTTTGCTGTGAAGAGAGCCCACAGCCCATGCCATATGTCGTACAAAACACGCATTCGTGCACCATGAATAATGACGAACGAATAAGAGAGGAAATTCCGAAAGATGTTATGCTCCCATAAATACTCGATATAATTGTCGTTTCCGCTTTTTACTTGATTTATAACGCTAGGAAATGACGTCATTTCATGTTCTCTCCCCTCGTTTGTTTTTTTTTATGTTCCGAGAATCAAGGCAACGTATCTTTTTAATTGCGTTATCTGATAAAACAAATACAACGTAAACGGAATAAAATTGTGGTGGTTCTGGCAAAACGAAGGGGAACTCATTGATGTGCTATATATGCCAACAGGAAAAATGTCTGAATTGAAGATATTCACAGGTTGAACATCAATGAAAATGGTGAAATGTGAAACGAATCCAATGCCAATTATGACATTTTTAATGATTGATAAAACCGTGTTTCTTTATGATGAAATCACCGTTACTTGCCACTTTTTAATTAATCTACACGTAGATATGCTCACACTAAACAGTGTTCATTCACTGTAGCGTACATTTCACACCCTTTATTCGCTAGCAATTGAATCTACTGGCGGATATCTTTCAACGCAAGTCAATAACGAATAATGATAATGCATTTGAATGCGAAATTGAAAGAGAAACTTAAAAACTACACGCAAACCGAAAATAAAGTGATAAAACAAATGCAGCGAAAGCGAAAATCGATTCGGGCAAATCTCTACGTATGCATAGTGTGCGTTGAATGAATTGTTTTTAAGACGTTGTAATATGCCATTAAAAACTTTAATCGGTACCATCGGATAGATCGAAAGTAGTGAAGACAGCACGACGATTTGTCGATGCAATGTGGCAAATACTTGGCGCTATACAATAATCTGTGATGACATTTATTCGTACTTCAGAGAGATACACACATACAGTCATGGAAATTTAATTAGGACCGTTATTGAAATTTCAATTTTTTTCCATTAATTCTGTTATTTTACAAAAAAATATTCATGAAATGATGTTTATGAGAATATTTGAAGTTTTTATAAATGGACTAGACTATCAATTTCATTATTTTCGGTAATACATATCATTTATTGATGAAATTGCCCAAAAACTGCGGGAAAAATAATTAAGACCTTCCATACAAAAAATGACAAATTTTTTCGAAAAATCGGAAAATTTATCATTTTTTGACAAAATTCACTCCACCGATGGTCGTATTTAATTGAAATACATTTTTTCCACATTACCATTTAATAGATTTCAAATTTCTTAACAAATTCGAAAAGTTACGGACCAAACTAAACTTTATAGCATTTTTTGTATGAAAAATCGTGGAAGAATCATAGTTTGGTCTGTAACTTTTCGATTTTGTTAAGAAATTTGAAATCTATTAAATGGTAATGTGGAAAAAATGTATTTCAATTAAATACGACCATCGGTGGAGTGAATTTTGTCAAACAAATGATAAATTTTCCGATTTTTCGAAAAAATTTGTCATTTTTTGTATGGAAGGTCTTAATTATTTTTCCCGCAGTTTTTGGGCAATTTCATCAATAAATGATATCCATTACCGAAAATAATGAAATTGATAGTCTAGTCCATTTATAAAAACTTCAAATATTCTCATAAACATCATTTCATGAATATTTTTTTGTAAAATAACAGAATTAATGGGAAAAAATTGAAATTTCAATAACGGTCCTAATTAAATTTCCATGACTGTATACATACTCGCACACTCTCACACTTGAAGCACATCGAGTATTCGGTATCAAGTCTTATTGTATAAAATGGTTGAAATGCTCTTGCTGCATTTCAATGGTTGCACCTAATACACAAGTTAGAAAGCGAGAGTCGGAGTCTCTGACTCAGAGAGAACAAGAGGGGTTGAACAAGAGGGGCACAACTAGTTCTCTTTCCAGAAAGAACAAGAGTTAGACAAATAGGGGAGGGAGAGAAAGGGAGCGAAAGAGCTTCATCGAAGATCAACTTCATACTTAGATAGCAAAGCTAACATTTTCATTGAGTTTTCTCTTCTTCGAGTTTGTGCGAAATGCGAACAACATCGACAATTACTCGAATTCGTACATTTGCTTGAGCGCCAATATAATACATTTGCTTGGCTGCGAGGAATATTACTTAGCTTTTGGTAAAATTTACAAATCGTAAATTAAATAATGCAATTGCGAATGGTAAAATAGCTAAATGGTTACCGAATAAGATATTTCGTTTTGGTCCCGATACACGGCTCTTGTATTACTAGATACCAAAATGGAAATATTCCATGTACAAGTGTTTCTCTGGTTCGTATTGAATTTTCAATGGTATTAAATGATGCACATGCGATAGGTGCAAAGTCATTTGTGTGTGGCACGTTCATCCCATGTGAATTGAGATCGACAAAGAGCATCACACAATATGTATAATATACATCGAAATCATTGAGATCGAAACACTGTACTGAGTGGCATTGGCAATGCATTCATTCATTCATTCAGTTTTACATTGCTGGGTGCAATATACCTAGCAATATTCGGTTGTTGCACGAATTCGATTGATAATAAAGCGATATACACACAGAGCGAGAGTGAACGAGTGTAATATAAAGTAATTGTAGTTTATGTGACAAGTGCTTTCTTTGAAAGTATGCATATATGGAAATTCTAGAGCCGAACCGAGCCATACCGAAAAACCAAATAGCATCGAAAATTTTAATGCAACTTGGAAAATTCGTTGTGACACTTTGAGTAAATTTGTTTAATTGCATTATTTGCGGGAATAGACAACATCGAATGCATTTGGTCAAAATGGGGCATGTCTTGTTGAATCAAGTAGATAACAGACACTTTTCCACACCAAACCAAACACATTTTCGCAACAAACCGCATAAATAATGCTTCATCGGACATTTACGCAATTTGCAAAGTTAAAATAATT